TATCTGTGCTCACAATACCATAGATTAGTACAGTGTCACCACAGAGCTGCAATAAGCTAATTGCTTAATTAGCTGACCCAATTCGATAAGCTTCTTTTAGCATATTAACAAGAGCTATGTAACAAATAGCTGTGATTCATGACGACTGGGTTTATTTACGGGATTACAATTATGAGGGTGAAATACAACACGTTATGGTCAATAATGCTCCTTTCATGAAAGTTCTGTAAAATAACATTTGTGATCATGTAAAACAACATTTCCAGTCCATCACATATTCATGATTAGAATACTCAGACTACTTGATATGCACAGCTACTTTACGTCCTCTCTGCGTCAGTGTCAGTGTGTTCCTGTCTAAACAATTCAGTTCAATCTGGGAATGATTTCACTGCACTCTCAATAATTCTGGACAATGGAGCATGAGGGTTAAACATAAAAATAATTGTCTTATTAGATTGAAATAGACTCATTTACATTTTCTCCTCGCATACTTTACATATAGTGTATGATCTTTTGCACAGCGCAGGGAGGTCTGGGTAAAAGAGCACTATTTGTATAAGATGAACTAATCTATATGCTAATTCATTGCCATGTAGACCTGCTTCATTTCTCTGATTCATTCCTGTTTACCTATTAGCTGTTATAGATGCAAAAGAAAATTAGAATATTAAAAACCAAAAAGCTGAGGGCTACAAAGCATTAGCAGTACATCACCTGTTATTATAGTCATATTAGGGTGCCATTGCTGGCCTTTGTTTAAGCTGCACCCAAGAGCCAGGCTCCAAGTGAGGTTTCATAAATAAAATGAGCCATCCCTTTAGTTAAGTGGGACCTGGTGCACCTGACAAACCATAATGGGGTTTCAAATGTACCTAAGCCGAGACAATGTCATATGGAAACGGGTCCAAAGCCTGTCTTTAAAAATGTAGCTTAGGTTTCTTTTCAGGGGGCAGTCAAACTTAGTGTCTCAAAGCAACTCTGTTACACTTGCTTAGAACTACTGTGCAAGTTGAATGCAACTACCTTTACTAAAACGACGCATGGCAACACCAACATGGGCTTATATGGGAGATGTGACAGATCATATTACAACCAGAGCCTAAATGCTAATGTAATTTCACATGAACTGTGCTTAAAGAGATCCAATCGACCATTCGCTGATACCCACTTCCATTGTGTTTAAGAGGATGACAACCTCCCTCTTATTGTCTAAGTAATTCACTAAAATTGCCACTTATAGCCGCTCAGAGTCGTACGTTTCATCTCGGAGCTTCCTCTGGTCTTTGCTACTCATCCCATTCCGACTTCCTTCCGAAAACGCCACCACTTCATTAACCTTGCCAGGCGATAGATAAGACAGGCATTGCATCAAAGCCGTCTGCCCACAGAGAGAGAACAGAGTCCAGTCTCTCCACTACACAGCAGCCTTCACACACCCAAGCAGAGACACCACTTTTGTGTTCTAAACTCTCTGCCACACATAGGCTGTCTGAGAAACTATCTACTGTATATCCGTTATGTGTTAAACAGTTTTGAGGGAGGAAAGTGTGTTGTTGTTTGAAAGCAAGATGAACGTCCCGCAATGCACTGTCCACAATTGGAGCACTGTCCAGAATACATCCAGTAGTCTGAAGGGAACATATTGTTTCTTGTGCTCAGTTACACAGAAACACTGTCGATGTTGCATTGACCTATAACCTTAGAGGCATGGACATGACAGGAGTGCTTGATGGAAAAGGCAGTGGAAAATAACTATTACCAAAATACAGTAATTGCATCTGACAGCAATAATTACTGTAGCAACATAATACAAATATTTACCAAAATAATTTACAAGACTTCTATTTCTACTACACGTTTGTTTCACTTAATCCCTCTGCCCACAATTTCTCAAAAAAATGAAGGGTAGAAAATGATTTTCCTTTGGAGGAAACTGCAAATCCCTGTCTGGATTCTGTTAAAAGGCTTAAAATGTCACTAAATGCCAGGGCTGAAACTCCTGCTAACATGTAGGTCTTTAAGACAAGATGTTAAAGCGTTGAAAGTTACCTGAAATTGATGAGGTTAATATTCTTATCGCAAGCTGAGGGTTCTGTGAAAGTGGATATTGAAAAAAGGTAGACTGCACCGTAACCCTTCATATTAGAGGGTATCAAACAGGACTTCTGCATTGTAAACAGCAATTGCTCATTGAATTGTTTATCATAGTATTTAGATACTGGAATACAATGGCATAATTCAAAGAAATTAAATATTGTGGAGAAGACATCACTATCTTCATATGGGGGTATTACTAAAATATTACACCAACCAAGCTGTTCTTCAATAGCAGACTAGAATTACAACATTAAATCACTTAATACATCCCTTTACTGAACATCTGAAATGCCAAATATGTCCACAGAGGCCTCTCACTTATGATTAGCACACTTTCTGATATCAAAAGGACCAAAGGCCAAATTTTGTTCCTAGGTTTCTTTGGAGACCATCCTCTCTGGGTTTTCAGCCAAATGTGAATCACAGGTAAAATACAGTGAAGTCAGTCATCCACTGAGCCAGCACATAGGCTGGTGAGAGTGAGACATTCTGGCATCTATTAAGAATTACGTTATGTATATTGTGTTGGGAGGGGAATTTTACTGATCCACAAAACCAGCAGGAAAAGGATAAGTGTGAGAGTTTTATAAGACCCTGTGGTAAAGCAACTGCATTGCAGAATCTCTGTTAAGTTAAAAGTTGCTGTGGCGTTGAGCAGAAAGTCAGGCAGAATCCTGCATGCCCACTGATAACATGGTTGGATTAGGGATGTTTAAGGGAAGTGAAAATTATTCATTTGAGATGGATGAAAGCTGCACTTGTCAAGTCTACCAGTCATGCACTTTATATATTTCATTTCCACTAGCCAGCATGCATAATTTCTCCTCAATGCAAATTTCTACACACTGTAATTGTGAGCATATTTACCTCGGCCCTCTCAAAAAAAAAAACGTTCTCTGACACAGAAAAAGTATTGTCTCTAAAATATGAATTCTCCATTGAAGGCAAGCAGTGAACAAAACAATGCGATTCAGTTTGCCATATTGAGAATCTAATTTCCTACATGCATTTACAATTTAATAACTACACAACTAATAACTTTTATTTTAAATAATACTTTAAGATCAAATTAATGTGATGAGGGTTAGACCCTGGTTTTAGCACATCTCAATTGTGTATAGTGTCTGTCAGTCCACTAAAAGGGCTGCAACTACTGTATGATTATAAGTCATAAAGTCTTTCCCTTTCACTTAGTGTTGGTCTTACAGCCTAGCAACTCATAGAACATGTCTGTCTCTGTACAAATATTATGATCTCTCTGATGAGAATTAAGTCTCCAGCCTGGATGGCCAATAAATTAGAGGCACGCTTCTCGTTTACTCATCAGAGCTAATGAGCCTGATAAAATTACCTCGAGGATCATAATTACAGGCTAGTGGCAGAGACTCTGGCACTCTGAATGAGTACAACACACACACACATTTTAAACAGAGAGGGTTTTAACCCATAGGCCCTCAAAATGCTTACTGGTGCCTTGTTACTATAGCAATTAAGCTAAAACTATCAAATAGAAATGATTATACTATATATGGGTAGTGTATTTGATTGTAAAACATGCATAAGGAATGCAATACAATGTTCTTTTAGGCAATACATTTCTATCCTCTACATTGAGATCTACTGGTAAGAATACCTTCGGTGCCTGTAGAGTACTGCACCATTCCTTGTAAAAAATAACTTCAATTAATTGAATGTAAAAACCTGAATAAGTCAGTATAACATGTGTAATTTGTCAGAGCCAGTACAACACATTATTGCCACCCTTTCATCAAGATTAACCACTCCATCAGTAATGGCATATTTTGATGGACGGCAGCAGCGTGGACACAAGAGCTCACCTCAGAGGATTTCATTTCATCACATTCACAGGACAAATTGTTTTACTTATGAATATTAATGTCCCTCTAATTTGAGGCCGTTGTTAATGCTTGTCGCTAGGAGCCTAGCAAATCAGGTCCCATTCCTGTTAAAACCATGTATTAGACACCCCCCTGACACTAAGCCCTCGCCTTTGATTCTTAATTGCAGAAGCGCAAGCATTTGCAGTAGATGGGGCGCAAAGCTTTAATTAACTCTAATATCACACGTATTCTGTCTTGACTGTCACCCACATCACGCATGGTGTACTGCACCAATATCATCCCCACTTCCTCTCAGCTAGAAAGATGCTGTTCCAAGTTCATGATCACAATTTCATGCATCTTCAATTGAGGATATGTTGTTTATAAGTAGCTGCAAATATATTGACGTGAGCAAATTCTTGATGCCTTCCCTAAAACCCACATTAAAGATGAAGAGAAGTATGTAGCTCTGAATGATCACTGCTGTGCTTTGATACTGAAGTAGTGTCCCGGCCTAGCTGCTCCAGAACATCATGTGGATAAGGACTGTGGTCTGTATCATAAAATCAGGCTGTAACTTTATGCTTATATGAGATAGAAATCAAAAAGGATAGGTTTAGATTGTTCAGTTCCTAATGAAAAGTCTGACCTGTGAAGAACTCTGTAGTAATCAAACACATCCCCTACAGTTGATCAAGGAACATGTTAATTGAAACTAAGCAATTATCTGCCATGATATTTTGAAGTAAAAAAGGCCTACCATTACATTCTACAAGACCTTACAAAGTTACATATTAGTGCTTTCAAAACCAAGGATGTTCAAATTATTTATTGGACAGCAAACTCATTACAATTAAAAATATAAATACACTTTATGTACACATTCATTTAACATCCCTTCCAATTTTTTAAAAGTCACGAGACATTGGGACCTGTGCATACCTCAAACAGTATTTTCACAGATGACTCCAAATGCCAACAATTGTTTTACTTAAAACATTGCAATAAATGAACCAGGCATAAAACAATGCTTCAGTACATACATTAGTATATAATTATGTTTAATTGAACCAGGTTTAAGATTAAAAAGCTCAACATAACCACTAGTTTATAAGCCTTTTCCTGGCCTATAAGCTACTGTTCTACGTAATCTTTCACAATGTTATTGCATCAGCAGAGTTGGAACATTTTGCAGCTTTTATAAAATTAGCAAAGAAATTAACTGCCTGTACTGTGGCAAATTGGGATTCAGGTTCATGCCTGGTTCCTATATATATAAAACACACTGTAAAACCATGGTGCCACCTACAGCACAACAGGAGAAATACAGCCTTTAAAAATGTGGCAGCGTAGAACATGCTGCTCACCACGTCACCCGGTCTACAGACAGATTCCACTCAAAATGTTATTCAATGTTTGGTTACTAATAACATCCTTTTTGGAAGCATAATCAAATAAATACATCTGTATTAAAATTAGACCTACTGAAGCAAAAAATAATAATAAATAAAAAAATCAGCACGCATTAAGGCAATTTCTATTATTTTGATACTAACAACTTAAATCAGTGATATGTATTTCCCTTTACCATTATACGGTGCAACAATACCAGTTACATTATTTTGCATTTGACTCATTTTAACAGTGACTCTCGAACACCTTCACAACAATCCCAACCTAGATGTGAGGAAAAACAGTGAGTGAAAAAAAACAAGCAAACCATAAGTTAAAATTGTGACATCTTAGATATACACCACAAGGAACAAAACATCAGATTATGATCAGTCAAGTGTCATGAGACCAGTCTCAAGAACAACAACTGAACACTAAATGTTTTCAAACAAAAAGCCTTTCTAAACAAACCTTTGCGACAAAACACCAACTCGATCTGATATGTAGCTGAATGTTGGTCTTTGACCTTCAGGCTCAGCAACATAATCTTGTTACTTATTAGCTGAACTCCAATACCACCATGAACACAAGTTGATGTATACACACACACACTCCGTATCACCTCTTGAAAAGAAACCCAATTTAAAACATCCCAGACACGACAACACATACTGCAACCCCCAGAGCAGGATGGAACAATTATAACACAGTCCCCTGATCACTCACTGTGAACTTTTTACTACTTTTTCGTCTGAACAGCATTTTGAAGGAGGACTTCCTCTTGATTTTGGATTTTTTAAGTCCTGTCCACCAGAACAAAGAGGAAATTACATTAAGCAAGGCACGTCCCAGGGTTTAAAAACAGGGGCATTTTAAATCAACCACTTTAAATACTCACCAAGAGTCTGCATCATTTCATTCAATTGCTGATCCTCTACATCTTCCCTAAAATGGAGAACATGTTGTGGTTTTTCAACTTAGACATCCAGCTTGATCTCAGTGACACTCCCGTCACCACTTGAGACCATTGCAGATATTGAAATGCTCCACACATTTTCAAAAACTGGGTCACAACTCACATCAAATTGTACAAGCAACAAAGTTGCACTTTTTCCCTACCTGAGCCTGTCCTCATCCAGTCCTTCTACGATGGCGTTTCTACCGTTCACAATCTCCATCAACCTCTCCATCAGCCTGTCCTCTCGCCGACGCTCCGAAGTAGACTTCAGATGATCTGTGATACCAGGGATAAACAGACCGGTGTTAGACATAGGAGCACTACACTACAAAATGGTAGCTGCTGATCTGTTAGGGGGATGTAAAGTGAACAGTTGAGATGCTGTGTGTGAGCCTTGTGCCTCCTACCTGGTTTCTCCAACAGTCTGCGCAGCTCACCCTCCACCCCAGGCTGCTGCTCCTCCAGGTCTTGAGTCTTAGCTCTGACAAATGCAATAAGTGATTTTTAAGCCATTGTAAATCCGGAAGTGTATATACTTTTGGGCAACATTTAACTTGACAAGTACTCACATGTACACAAGCTCCGACTCCCTCCTAATGCATGTCTGCTTCTTTCGGATCAGGTTGAACCAGTCAACCATCAGAGGGTCCATCAAAATGTCCCCCTCGCCCTCTGCAAAAGGCCAGTGTCAAGGAAGTTCATTGGCAATACATAAAATAAATGACATTTGTGCAAGACTGAATTAACAAAATGAATCACATTGTTCCAGTCCAACATGCACATTGAGCCTTTGTCAGTGCCTAAGGGCTGTGTGTATACAAACACACACCAGCCACAGCCAATAGTACAAACTGGCCTGGGACAGAGAGAAGAGTGTCCCATTAACTCACCCTGCCTTCTATCAGCAGGACAGCCAGGTGCATGTAAGGAGTGAGTAAAGCAGTGAACCAGATGATAATATTAATATAACTGTGCCCAGATGGTGACCTTGAGCAGAGCAATCAGGCACCCTATTCCTCCTGCTCTGTCTGTAGCCACAGCCAGTCTCTTGGGCTGTTCAGCACCACCTCTCAATCGCTCAAAGGGGGATGGATAGTATCAGAGGGAGGAGGTGCCCTCATGTGGGCAGTGCCCGCCTCTCGCCTCATTTGGCCATGGAGGGAAATGGAACCTGTTCACCAGTCACACCTCTCCCCTCCAGGCTGTGTGGGTTTGGATTCCTGTGTAAAGTCCCAGGTGGGCTAGCAGGGATAACAGGCTCACCATCAGAGTACAACTCAACACTGAGAATAGTGGAGGGACTGGGCCATTTCAATTGAAGTACATTAATAAATATCTAATCATAAAGGCTGGTCTATTTGGAAATAAACTGATGCAGAGGGAGAATCTCAATTGCATACTCCTCGCATCCTCTCTCCTTCTCAAAACCCATTGGAGAAGAAGGTCAGAGGGGTGGGACCACTGGCTTTCTCATCCAATGGGTTGAGGCGGCGGCGAGGAGAGAGGACACAATTGAGAGTCTCCCATGGTGTCCTTCAAAATCCTGTCCTGAAAAAGACCCAGTTAGGGTTGAAACATGGTCAGTCTTCTTTAACATAACTTTAGTATCATAACTGTGTGCAGAATCACTTGTTGTTTATGTCCTTCAAAAGCCAGACCAGTATGCACAGGACACCACTCTCCCACATGCTTTGGCAAATGAACAAATCGCTATTAGTCAACATCAACAAAGGAGGGAGGGACACAGGGAGTAAAGAGAATTTCCTTGGAAAGTACCTTCCTCACAGCTGCGAAGCCTCTTCTCCATCTCCACTCCCTTCCTCTCCAAGTCACCCAGGCAGTCGTCAATCTCACGCAGCTCCTTCACTATCTGATCCATGGGGATGTGATGTGACTTACACTGAACAAAACAAAGAAAAACCCATTGTGTAACTACGAATTGCTAATCCTGTGTAATTATCTAACTATGAACTGGAAATTTCATAAGAACATTAGATAATTTCACATAGGATCGTTACTGCCTCTGATAAATAGAGCTTATGTATGAGACAGAACTGTCAACTTACCAAGGGTAACCTAATTTCAGACCTGGAAGTGTTTGTGGGTGACAAATAATTTCCATTTTTAGAGCCTAAGAGGTAGATAAAATAGGATTATTACATATTTAATGGCTGACAGTCAGGGAGTCATTGTCACATGAGACTTAGCTTGTTTTTTTCAGAAATTAAGACATACATTTTTTTTTTTTTAAACATCAATGGTTGAGAAAGAATGTCTGGTAATGGTGATAGAAAGTGAAAAGCCCAGTCTAACCTGTGGAGCCCTGGTGAGGCTGTTTAGGAGACATAGGGGGAGAATAACTGCCATTCTTTGAGGCTAAAAAGCAAACAAAATGTAACCGATTAATAAACTGCAATATATAGACTCCAAATACATTGTTGCGATGCAATCACTGAGTGGAGTTCTAGTCTTTACCCGATCCTGCAGAGCTGTGGTGAGGCTGACTTGAAGTTGGGGACCCTGTGCCAGACAGGAACCAGGGGAGGAGTGGACGACAGAGTAGTAGAATAATTCCAATTTCTAGTACCTAGAAGGTGAAGCACGATATCATTTAAAACCCCAACAAGTCATCGAAAATGTTAACTCAAATCATTTACGTGACAGTAATCACTACTCTGCCAACTATAGAGGATAATCAAAAGCATGTACCCAAGCCTCCAGAGCCATGACGGGGCTGCCTGGGAGATGGAGCTCTGTGAGACAAAGGGCCAGGTGGAAGAGGGTTGAAGGCTGCTGGGGGAGTCCGAGGAGAGGTAGAGCTGATGTTGACGATGATACTAGTAGCGAAAGACTTCGAGATGGCTTCAGGTTTGGGTTGCTCAACAACGATCGCTCGGTCCTCAGAGTCAGAGGTACTGGAGAAAGAGGGTGCATGTAAGGGGCAGGAAAATATTGGACTCTCCCTGAAATCAACCATTTTGGATTGAACATACAGTAAGTTCAGACAGAACATTCAGCCTCACCTTATATATTTAGGAATAATGGGAGGTGAGAAAACAGTGGAGGGGTCATCAGGGGGAACTCTGGGAAACTAGTTAGTGTTGCACTACGGTTCATTTCAGCCATAGCACTCCTTTGGACTTGTGAGGATGGGGGAGGAGAGTGGCTGCAATTTGAGCCAGTCAGCCATAACTGAGCAGGGCGAGGCAGGATGAATCCGCAGGCTGGAGGAGTGGATACATGAGATGCCCAACTGGTTAGCTCTCCAGATATATAACTGAATCTCTCACCCGGGTGACAATACCTGCCTTCCCTTTGTGTGGATGTACAGGATTAGAAAGAGGTTGATTAACAGATAACTGATGAGCAGTCCAGACTTACTTCAGTCCTGGTCCATTTTTAACAGGCTTGAGCTTTGATCGCCAGTTAACAGGAGCCTCTGCACGGTCTGCATTTACAGCCAAAGAGATATACACTTAGAAAGAAGAGTGCATGATTCAAGCTCCTTATCAAATTCTACAATTAAAAAAAAAGGGCTAAACAAGCTGGGATGACCAAAATAACAAAAAAATGGCTGATAGTGAAGACTGCTAATGCACTAGCAGCTTATCTTAATGCTCTTAAACTGGATGGAAATGCTGTTCATGGCTACATCCTTGTCTTAACAACAAGGTAATAGAAAGCGTTCCAGCTTTTGAAGTTTCTCTTGTTCCATATGACCTATAGAAAGAACCTGAACTTGATTTTAAAAAGTTCTCAAAAATAAGTGGAATTGAAAAAGCCTGCCTTTGGTGGTGGAGGATACAGTTGTTGGTCCGGCACTGGCTTTTTTGACAGTGTTCAGCAATTCCTTATTGCTGGTGAAGGGTTGGGCTGCTTGTTGTCCTGCTGTGCCTGACCCACATTTAGCCTGCTTCCAGCTGGGGAGGTCAGCTGAGCTTGGCAGGTCTCCAAACCTGGGGAGACAATACTTTCACCATTAGGATGGGAAATGTACATACAGTATTAGCTGACATCCACAAAATGAGATGAACTGTGGCCATGCGCACTTGAACAAGAATAAAATCCTGTAGGTAAACCCACTGGCCTTCTTTTCTCACCTCCTTTCTGTTGGTTGGATAACAAAGTATCTGGTGTTATTGTTGTTGCAGTTCGCCTCAACTAGTTTCTTGGTAATGACAGCCCTGGCTCGGTTCTTCTCTTCCTCAGTACTCAGGGGCACCCTCGGCAGTCCTGAGGGGGCTGGGGGCTTATGGCTGCTGGGGGGGGCCCTCTGGGGATGAGGTAGATGACTGGAAGAACCTATGCCGTGCTGCCTGGGTTCTCCGGGCCGAGCTGGTCCATGGTTGGGGAGCTGGGGTGGTGGTGGTCTCCACGGGCTTCAAGACCACCTTGACGGGGGTCGAAGGCACAGAGGTGGGGCGGGAGACAGACTGGACTCTGCTGGTGTCACTTTTGGATTCAACGTTGGTGCTTGGGGATCCGGTTTGGATGACAGCCCCAGAGGAGGGAGGCTTGTTGCAGCCATTCTTGGTGTTCTGGTGGTCATTACAGATGAAGCTACCTGGCTCCTTCCCTGGTTTATAGGCCCCAGCCAGGAGGACATTGGAGCATTCACTGCACCTGGTGAAAGGTGCAACGTAAAGGTGTCAACGCATTTTATTTGATTATTTTTTAGGGGGTAGATCAGCTTTAATATTGCAGATAGATTGTAACTTCCATCAATGTAATTGTCTGCATCACTTCCAATCCCATATATATATATATAAATAAATGTGTGTGAGAGAGATCTAGCTATCTATATATACACATCCTTTTTAAAAATATATTTCCCTTTATTACTTTCCAACCCCACCACTAATTGGAGTAAACAACAACGCTTAGGCCTCTACTTCCAGCTTATACATACTATATACATTTTATGGACACAGTCAATTTTGCAATAATTCTATTTTGTTTGTTTTTACTCCTGAACTTCCTCTACCCTCAACCTCGCCGATCATTTTCATGACGTCCATCCGGTTTGCTTCTATATGCCATATCTTTTTAACTGTGCTCTTTCACAAAAGCTCCCAACATACAACCTACATACTTATTATGGGCACAGTATGCTTTACATTAGTTATTAGTCCCATCCTTCAGCTCCATTCAACACCTCCCATCCATCTCTTAACACCATCCATATTGGATTTCTATTTGCCAACTGTACTCAACACGTTTTAACCATAATGATGGAGCTGATTTCTATGTTTAAAGTGAACATTTACTTGAAGCAGCTCCTGTGGTAAAGCTTCCCCTCGATGAAGTGCCGTTGGACCAGATGAACGTGGCATTTGCACACAACACATTTACTGCTCAGAGTGCCTGTCTTATTGGAGCTCTCCACCAAAACCTCTGTCTTCTGTGGAGGAGAGAGAAAATAGATGTTTTAGAGATACACTACATGACCAAACGTTTGAGGACACCGGTTTGTCAAACCCTTTGCTACTATAACAGCCTCCACTCTTCTGGGAAGGCATTCCACTACATGTTGGAGCATTGCTGCAGGAACTTGCTTCCATTCAGCCACAACAGCATTAGTGAGTTCGGGCACTGATGTTGGGCGATTATGTCTGGCTCGCAGTTGGCGTTCCAATTCATCCCAAAGGTGTTAGATGGGGTTAAGGTCTGGGCTATGTGCAGGCCAGTCAAGTTCTTGCACACCGATCTTGACAAACCAGCGTTAAGATTTCCATTCACTGGAACTAAGGGGCCTAGGCCAAACCATGAAAAACAGCCCCAGACCATTATTCCTCCACCAAACTTTACAGTTGGCACTACGCATTGGGGCAGGTAGCATTCTCCTGGCCAAACCCAGATTCATCTGTCGGACTGCCAAATGGTGAAGCGTGATTCATCACTCCAGAGAACGTGTTTCCACTGCTCCAGAGCCCAATGGCGGTGAGCTTTACACCACTCTAGCCAACGCTTGGCATTGTGATCTTAAGCTTGTGTGTGGCTGCTCGGCCATGGAAACCCATTTCATGAAGCTCCCGATGAACAGTTCTTGTGCTGACGTTGCTTCCAGAGGCAGTTTGGAACTCGGTCATGAGTGTTGCAACCGAGGACAGGTGATTTTTACGCGCTACAGCACTCGGCAGTCCCGTTCTGTGAGCTTGTGTGGACTACCACGTCGAGGCTGAGCCGTTGTTGCTCCTAGACGTTTCCACGTCACAATAACAGCACTTACAGTTGACCGGGGCAGCTCTAGCAGGGCAGACATTTTACGAACTGACTTGTTGGAAAGGTGGCATCCTATGACGGTGCCACGTTGAAAGTCACTGAGCGCTGCATTAAGGCCATTCTACTGCAATGTTTGTCTATGGAGATTACATGGCTGTGTGCTTGATTTTATACACCGGTCAGCAACGGGTGTGGCTGAAATAGCCAAATCCACTCATTTGAAGTGGTGTCCACATACTTTTGTATATTCAGTAGTTCACCAAAATGTATGCCAGTCAAACATCTGATTTAAAAGAATTAAATAAGAGACATTAAAAAGCCATTTGTACTCCTCTAACCTGGACAGCAGCTCTGGTTGCGTCGGGGGAGGTTTTCACCATGAGAGAGGAGCGAGGTGGTCGATTCTCTATGGCCGTTTTAGACACTATGGTTTTGGCCACCACCGGGAGATTCTTCTTTCCAGACGGCTCCTCCTTGGAGCCCTCTGCTGGTCTTTTCACAGCACCCACCCCTCCAACTGGAAAAAAACATTGGCCATCAGAAATTAGAGCGTTGAGCCACAATACTCAAATCTACAATCCCTGAACCAATCGCTCAGTAGAGATGCTTTGTGCATGTGAAACTGAAATAGTTTGGATATAGAATATCTTATAAACCAATAAGCATAAAAAAAAAACATTTGCCAAGCTTTAAATTTACTACTGATTGTAAAGGACAGGCACATTAGACTAAACAGGTTTGAAGTAATATTTTCACCCAATTTAACCCTACATGACACCTGTGTACTTCCCACAATCACCTTAACTGTACACCTCACCAGGAAAGGAAACTTAACACTTATAGTGCAGCGTATAGACCAGTGCTCCAATGTAACAAAGCTGCCTCAAGACAGACAGTCTTACTAGGGTTGCGTCCGTGGAAGTAGTTGTAGTACTGGGAGACGTAGGTGAGGACGCTCAGTCGGTCTGGGATCCTCAGGGCCACCATGTCCTCTGCATCCAGCAGAGCAGCGATCCCCAGCTTGTCCTCCGCAACCCGGAAAGCCTGAAGGTTAAAATAAACACTTGTTTTATTAACCAACCCTAAACCCATAGAGAGCCAACAATTAGAGGGGCCAGATGTATTGGAGTACCCCCTAGCAAGCAGAACACTGATAACAATGGTTTATACAAAAAAGTTAAAAAGAAAATTTTTTGAACATTTACAAAGCAGAGGTTAATACTAAGGAAAAATCTTACATCATTTGAATAACACTTTCCCAATGTTCTTGAGGGTTTCTTAATATACATAGCAGCTACTTAATTTAACTGTAAACATAAGCCAGACAGAATGGTCTCTTCAGAAATAGAAAATAGAAAAGTCCAGCCAGCAGCTGTTTGTGGCCCCATGCTGGGGAGGTCTGGACAGGGGGTGAATAATGAATAGCACATTTCCTGTGCACGCTCAGCCCTGGGAACACAGAGGGAGTAGGAGAACGGGACATTGTTTAGGATCAACCTGGATGTGCTCATTAAAATGTTAAAGTACAGCCTTGCAGAACGGCATATCCGTTCGTGTTGGAGCAGGAGGAGAAAGGCCAAACAATTTCTGCATTTGTGAGATTCTCTGTATAACAGTAACGGAATTGGCCATTGTTGCTGTACCGTAATGAAACAGAGTCTGGACAAGACAACTGCATATTTGAGTTTGTAGTGACAGATAGACCCACCACTGAGAGAAACCTGAGAGACACACATGAAGGACTGGGACCTCCTTGTCATGAAATACAGAGGACTACTGTCACTGTGTATGGGATTACCATGGGTAATTTACATGGGTGTTTGGACTCCACCACAGAGGAATTCGGTTGGTCAAATAGACTAGTTACCAAAACAAAACTGTCCTCGTCAAAGGCCCAACTGTGGGTTAAAACACATTCTTCTTATGCAACCCCCCAGCAGTGTAGTGTCCCACCGTACTGTCTAACATTTGTAAACAGAACTTTATCGTGCGGATCGAGTGGCCCACGGATAACAGTAAGCCTCATTCATAATGAATACTCCAGGGAGCCTCTTCTGGTTCTCAGGTTCTTAACGGACACTGTGGGGGATCGGCACGACTAGCAGCTAGTGTTTTGCAACAGATCCTGGAGTGCATAGCACACTATGCGGTCTATAATCCTCAAAAACAGAGGAAACCAGCACAGAGAGAATTCCTAATTATGGACAAGTCCCAACTGCGCTGCTGTTTGACTCATTCTTATCACAACGGTCCTCACACACTTCCTGGTATGAAGGAAATAGGGGGGGAACATAAAACATTGTCAACTTAGACAGTCCGGTGAACGGAAAAACCTCAAATATCTCCACAAAGAGTTAAAATCAAGTTAAATACAACCAAGTCAACCATAATGTCTGATGTTCATCAGGTGTTCATATTTAAGCCGCCATCTGTCGAAGTAGTATCAATAGAAATGAGTGTAACTAGCCAAAGTCACATATAGTAATGAGCCAAAGTCACTATCGAGTGACTTGTTAGGCAGTGTAAGACTTACTGACTTGACACGTTCCATACAACTCGCACATGACATTCTCCTCACAATAAAACAGCAACATGAGACAGACCTTGTATAGCACCAATAGCAGAGATGGTTTCCCAAACTACAGTTGGTATATGAATAACCTGAAATCTTAGGAATACATGTTGTCCAGTTATCAACTGGGAAAGACGTTCTGCATTTGGCCACTGCGTGTACATACTATGCATGTTACAAGCAATAGGTCACATTTATGGTGACCCATCACATTCTTTTCATGAGTTGCATTTAATATCACCCTTCAGAGCAAAACTTTTGCCCCAGTTCTATAGAAACACTTCTGAGGGATATATCAAAAATAACCATGAATTGACTGGTGCACAATTCCAGTCCTTTGGAGACTTCGCTAATAAAGAATAGGCCTAAATGTTACCACAAAGGACTTGATGCATTTCTAACAACGCAATCCACTCAAACACAAACCAACAGACTTCCTGATAAGATGGCCAAACAGTTCAGTAAGGTCATGTCAATTTACAACCTTGAACAGTGCTGATGTTACATGCATAAATAGACAGTAAATCTTACCAAGTTGTTGTTGTCAAAAACATCCTCTTTATTCAGGGAGTCGTAGTCTCTGAATATGGAACACAGGGAAATGAATCATTCACATTGTGGCAGTTGATACAAGGTCATTCTCATGTGAATTTGGGTGACTAACTGCCCAGGTTTCTGGGATACATAAATAATATTATAGTGCACTAGTACAGCAAGAAAGCTTGTGGGAATGGTTATGCTGTGAGGTTTCTTTCTGTTTTAGACTTTGAGTACATAAAATCAAAATGTGTTTTCTTGTTAAACAAGAATGATGTTTGACTTAAGATTGACTAGGGAACATTTTATTTCCATTCATGTGACATTATGCAATGTGTTGATTTAAAAATAAAGGATCACACGTATACCTTTATGAAACGAACATTTCTTACTTGTAGTTCAAAATTCACTTATATTCATATGGATATTTGCCTATGCTAATCTAGCCTCATCTCTCAACCAAAATGTCAAGCCTCTGGCTAAATCTGACAAAGGGATCCTTGAGAAGGGGATTCCCGCCACCATTGTTAAGCAGACAGGAAGCCACTGGGAATACTTTCTTTCAAAATAAGTAGTAGAACTTGATAGAAACGATCGCTATTTGCTATTGTATGTACTGCTCAAGGGATTACATTAGGCCTACACGAGAACATTACTTTTCTAAATCATGATTTGAAGCTATAGCCTAAACTACAAAATGTGTTTGTAAAGTAGAAGACAAAGTAAAAGACAAAAACATGAACTGCTTGGTTATGATAAAAGTACGTTGACAGAAGGCCAAGGTTTCCCTTACTCGTGTACCGAGTTTGGGAAACGCCGAGGTAGCTATTCATCATATAATTCAAAATATTACAAGTTCTAACTGTGGCTTTAACAGTGAGTACCCACTGTAGTGTTTGACGTATTGATTGTTTGCAGCTGCTAATGATTTGTTGCACCTGATTCACCATAACATTGAACATCAATTCTTCAACCAAATCAAATTATTATTTTTTGGTTAAGTCATTAAAATGCTTACATTAGGTCCGGTCTGTACTTATGGATAAGCGCACAGAACGCCAACCCGTCCCTAAAAGAAGTTGTCATGTTGATGATAGCCACATCTCGGTACCCATTGCACTGAAGTTTGCACCACTGTTGAAGCGCCTTGATGGCAGCCATCCTTCCCGGAGCGCGTTGTCCTGTCAAATAATTGACTTCCGGAAAAAAATATATAACCAAAGAGAAGTATGCAACCAGTGGGTGTTATTTCTTATTTGAGGGGATGTGCAGGTACTAGAAAGAAAGATACCGATTACCGAGAAAGAAAAGCCAGCTCAAACTGTCCAGTGTTCAATCATCAGCTGATGCTCGCGACTGATAGGCTACCATTGCACCACATTTAAAACGTATATTGGCGTGACGCAAGGGGGCGAGGCTTTGGTTCAGTAGCCTAATTACCGCTGTTAATGATCATTTTACACCACTGGTGACATAATTGCACTTTTCAATAATCACAGTGTTGACAATTAATCGGTCCTTTTAGTCTCTGTCCGGTTATCAAATATTCATTTGCATTATGTCCTGAATAGCCTGTTTCAGAGAGGTAATCATTGGTATAAAATATATATACATAATCAATGTTTACACTATTGTTGAAGTCTGTGTGGTTTTAATATCAATAGTTTTCATGGACAAAATAGGCTATAGTCCTACATTAACGCACTAATGAGCAGACATTAGTGTTGAAGCCTTAATGAGCAACTCAATTAGGCTATGAATACAAAGGATTCTGCTGAGCCCTTGTTTGCTCATTTGCATATGGGACATTTTCATTGGAAAAACCAATGATACATACTTTAAGTTACATGTTGCAAACTCAAAAAAGGCTTAAAGTCTCCATGAAATGAATTAACCCAGAATCCAGACCCACTGACCCATTTTGGGTCACCAATGGTGGTTTCAAATTTGACCCAAATGAGATGGGCCCAAATGAAGATGGAGTGACTGAGGGATACTCTCTAATTGAGATTGGACAAAAGAACAACTTGAGTGTGTCTGAAATTTGAGTATGACCCAACATAGGAGAAACTGACCCTCACAGAGAACTCGACAACCTGAACTAGATGCATAGCCTACAAAGAGATTAGATGGACATTGATATATTTACAAACAGAAAAAAAACATTTACTTGGTGTAAATAATACAAGTAGCCTAATACAAAGTAGGAACAACATACCAAAAAATAAAACAAAGACCATGGGAAACACTTTACAGTTGCTATGTGTAGTAACACTGTAATTACACTAAAACATTGTATTAACATGTTTTTTTATATTAATTGTTTTAACATAAGTGCAAAATAAGTGTTACCAGACCTTGAAATCTACAGAATATAAAGATATGGATAGTTTAATTATTACTGAAGCAAATGCACACGGGCAATATGCATATTGACTACAATATTGACTGAATAAAGGAAGGACAGGACAGGACAGTAATAATAATACAGTGAGGGAAAAAAGTATTTGTTCCCCTGCTGATTTTGTACGTTTGCCCACTGACAAAGAAATGATCAGTCTATAATTTTAATGGTAGGTTTATTTGAACAGTGAGAGACAGAATAACAACAAAAAAATCCAGAAAAACGCATGTCAAAAATGTTATAAATTGATTTGCATTTTAATTAGGGAAATAAGTATTTGACCCCCTCTCAATCAGAAAGATTTCTGGCTCCCAGGTGTCTTTTATACAGGTAACGAGCTGAGATTAGGAACATACTCTTAAAGGGAGTGCTCCTAATCTCAGCTTGTTACCTGTATAAAAGACACCTGTCCGCAGAAGCAATCAATCAATCAGATTCCAAACTCTCCACCATGGCCAAGACCAAAGAGCTCTCCAAGGATGTCAGGGACAAGATTGTAGACCTACACAAGGCTGGAATGGGATACAAGACCATCGCCAAGCAGCTTGGTGAGAAGGTGACAACAGTTGGTGCGATTATTCGCAAATGGAAGAAACACAAAAGAACTGTCAATCTCCCTCAGCCTGGGGCTCCATGCAAGATCTCACCTCGTGGAGTTGCAATGATCATGAGAACGGTGAGGAATCAGCCCAGAACTACACGGAAGGATCTTGTCAATGATCTCAAGGCAGCTGGGACCATAGTCACCAAGAAAACAATTGGTAACACATTACGCCGTGAAGGACTGAAATCCTGCAGCGCCCGCAAGGTCCCCCTGCTCAAGAAAGCACATATACAGGCCCGTCTGAAGTTTGCCAATGAACATCTGAATGATTCAGAGGAGAACTGGGTGAAAGTGTTGTGGTCAGATGAGACCAAAATCGAGCTCTTTGGCATCAACTCAACTCGCCGTGTTTGGAGGAGGAGGAATGCTGCCTATGACCCCAAGAACACCATCCCCACCATCAAACATGGAGGTGTAAACATTATGCTTTGGAGGTGTTTTTCTGCTAAGGGAACAGGACAACTTCACCGCATCAAAGGGATGATGGATGGGGCCATGTATCCTCAAATCTTGGGTGAGAACCTCCTTCCCTCAGCCAGGGCATTGAAAATGGGTCGTGGATGGGTATTCCAGCATGACAATGACCCAAAACACACGGCCAAGGCAACAAATGAGTGGCTCAAGAAAAGCACATTAAGGTCCTGGAGTGGCCTAGCCAGTCTCCAGACCTTAATCCCATAGAAAATCTGTGGAGGGAGCTGAAGGTTCGAGTTGCCAAACGTCAGGCTCGAAACCTTAATGACTTGGAGAAGATCTGCAAAGAGGAGTGGGACAAAATCCCTCCTGAGATGTGTGCAAACCTGGTGGCCAACTACAAGAAACGTCTGACCTCTGTGATTGCTAACAAGGGTTTTGCCACCAAGTACTAAGTCAGAAATCTTTCTGATTGAGAGGGGATCAAATACTTATTTCCCTCATTAAAATGCAAATCAATTTATAAAATTTTTGACATGCGTTTTTCTGGATTTTGTTGTTGTTATTCTGTCTCTCACTGTTCAAATAAACCTACCATTAAAATTATAGACTGATCATTTCTTTGTCAGTGAGCAAACGTACAAAATCAGCAGGGGATCAAATACTTTTTTCCCTCACTGTATTAGATGGACATTGTTATAGTTACAAACAGCAAAAAAACATTTACTTGGTGTAAATAATACAAGTAGCCTAATACAAAGTAGGAACAACATACCAAAAAATAAAACAAAGACCTTGGGAAACACTTTACAGTTGTTATTATGTGTAGTAACACTGTAATTACACTAAAACATCGTATTAACATGTTTTTTTTATATATTAATTGTTTTAACATAAGAGCAAAATAAGTGTTACCAGACCTTGAAATCTACAGAATATAAAGATATGGATAGTTTAATTATTACTGAAGCAAATGCACACTGGCAATATGCTGCTGACAATGAATATACAATATTGACTGAATAAAGGACAGGACAGGACAGTAATAATAATACATATTGTTTTTTCTCGTTTGGCCAAAAGACTGTCCTGCGTCCTCTCTCCGTCCTCTCTCCTCCATGACTCGGAAACCAATAAGTGGTCAAGGAGTGTGTCAAGTCATTAGTAGGCAGACGAAAGAGTGTCCTCCCCTCCTCGATAACAAACTTTCATCGAGGATATTCATGTGTATCCTACTGCGGAAGAGTTTTGAAATCTTCCACACCCCCTTTGAATCAGCTTTTGTTTTGTCAGAGGAGAAAAACATGCACACGTTTAAAAACAATATGCTACTTATTGTTTGTTTTATCTATAAAATGTCTTGCACAACTAACTTAATTTGTTTTGATCACTTTACACTTATTTTGAGTGGAGAAGGACCATATCATTTCAAGTAAGCGCATTTCCATCCACATTCACTCTCCTCGCCGACTGTCCTCGATTAACCTTTTCCTTTTTCAAAGGAGGCAAGAGAGGACGGAGGAGAGAGGATGCAAGGTGTGAGCAAAATCTAATCGATGAAAGGCCCATGAATGGAGAAGAGAGTTCATTACCAGAGGGGGGCACTGTTAGACTACAGAGAGACTTTTGAAAACATACAGGAGACTCAAGCTAACACTCAAGCAGGGCCGGCTATGGGCATAAGTGACATAGGCGGGCATAAGTGACATAGGCGGTCACCCCACGGCCTTTAGGGGGCTCCCATCCCCCAAAAAACTGAGTCGGGGACTCAACTTAATGTTGAGCTTTAGAATAATAGAATACACAAGGTGCAATGTCGAAAATTGGTTGTGCATGTGCAGTTTTCCTCTTGCTATGTCAGTCGCTCAATTAGCTCTTGTCAGTTAGCATTTTTTTAGATTGGTAAGTTAGTCTACCCAGCTATCTAAACTTGTAGTAGTCATGGACAAATTAATTACCGACCCGACACGAAGGGCATGTGTGCAGGGGCCCTTACCTCCAGGGGGCCCCCATTGATTTTGTTAGTCACTCTAAATCAGTTATCATATTAACATGGCATATGTCATGGCAAAATATGTCAAATTCCAGTAAATAAACTGTAAAACTGCACATTTTTCTCTCCACCCCATGATTAGAATTGCATGAAATATATTTTAAATTGCTTAAAAAATAATCAGCCTCATGACAAAATATGTAGAATTGCAGGAAATTAACTTTAAAACTTGTTTCTCTCCGCTGTCAAGAGGGCCCCCAAAAGGCTAGGGCCGGCCCTGCTCTCAAGATTTACATTCTCCTTTCATTTCATTCCTTCCAACTCCCTATTCATATTCCCAGATTCTGCATTGGAATTTGCAGTGACCTTGGCCAAGTGGTGTCATTTCCCATGTTTCTTCCACAGAACTAAAGGCTGTTCATGTCGTACAGGAGATTGACCATACAAAAAAGGCCAACGTCTAAGCCCAAAGGAAGTGCTCTGACTGGGAGGCTGAAAATCCATTAGACTTGGAACAGCTGCGCTTTCCATGCTCTGAAAATCAACATAATACAGTTTAGTAGGACAAATAGTGCCACCTCTGGAAATGTACTGATAATGATGATACAGGCTATTCTTATAGTCCCATCGTGTAAATATGTCTTAGCCTACTGTACTTTTTTTAAAACATCGATATACAGTATAACTCAAGACGATACAATATTTGAGTCCTCTTGATATACATTTCGACAATACTGATAAAATATACAAACAGTGGTAGCCTATCTGATGTATTTAAATGACAGCATTGTTTTCAAAAGTTTATCTTTCGCAGGAAACAACAACATGTATTTGCCTCGTAATCTTCAGAAAGCGTTCCTGTCATTGGGGGCAGTCATGTTTCAGCCACTTCCATTGTTTCCTGCGAGGGCCTGAGGGCCTGTGGCAGCATGCAGACATCCTGCTTCTCGTTCAGCAGTGAAGGTAACAGGATAGCCCCGGCCAGGGTTGGGCTTGTCATCGATGAGATCACTGAGAAGTCATCAGAGCGTTTCCTCTTTTAATTTTACCCTAATCTGATGGCTAATGTAAGAGCATTTAGTCACCAGTAATGCAGCAGAATATCTAAAGACCCTATACCTAAATAACATTTCACATCCAGAGGTATTGGATGAAGGTCAGAACTGCATATCTGAGTTTTACATGTATTATGTACAGATTTATTTAGGTGTGAAAAACCATGAATATATTAAATTAAGAATTTGTTCTTAATTGACTCACCTGGATAAATAAAGGTGAAATAAAATACAAATAAAATTATCCACCTCAGTAGGGAATGTAAAAGGATAACAATGTAATCTTTGTTTTATGTGTTTTTTTTAAAAGTAACACTGCTTCCCACAGGAGTTCAAGATAGAACTGAAATCGTTCAGCCAAAGTGTAAAGAAACATGAAGGATAATATGTCAAGATGTTGCTATGGATATACTATATATTTTGGAAAGCATTCACCTCTTGCTAGTCTGAGCATTTCAAATACACATTTAGCGTGATTGTAAATAGAAAAGGATGTCCAGTACAGACAAATAATGGCATTTCAAAACACTTAATAGATTTATATAATATTAAACAAAAAATTAGCACCTTTTGTAAATCTTAGTTTAAATCCTTATTGAATAACAGAATAACACCCAGGATGGGGTATTTAGGCAAGTTGCCTCAGCCATGATGAGGTCTTAGGGACCTGTTTGCAAAAGCCATGCAGAGAGAAAGAACCATATCAGTTGCTCTCTCCGTCGTCAGTGCTCTGTGTTTGTGTCTGCAGTGCCGCTGTCTCTCCTCCTCCTGACCTGGTCACAGTGCTGTGGATCTCAGCCTCGTGCTCCCTGGCCTTGGCCCGCAGCTTGGCAATGCTACAGGAGCGGAACTCTTCTGGACTGGGCCCCTCCATCCCCTCCCATTCTCCTGCTGGCCCCTGAATCGTACTCTGTATGGGGGTGGTCACAACAGCAGAACGAGGTAGTGTATTCCAGGGATAGTTTCCTTTCTCCTGCCTCCTCTCCCAGTGCTTGCCGTCAGAGCTCTCTTGCTCTGGTAAGCTCTTGTTGGGTTTGTCTGTTGTTGTGTCCTCAGCATTGTCCTTCCTGGGAAATGGCTCTCCTAGCTGGCCCTGCAACTTCAGCTGTCTCCGCATCTTAGCACGGCGGTTCTGAAACCACACCTGGTGAAAATAGAACAAATGTAATATTTAGAAAAAGAGAGAGTGAAATCCCTTACAATGCAAAACATTCATTTTGAAAAATGTTTCAGTATCCACTAGATTTAACAGTTTTTTTGTGTATTCATAAACAAATAATATTTTTTATATATATTTAAAATACAGTAGCATTGTGGCATGAAAGCTGATAGAAACATAGATGGCTTCTAGAAATCAGAGTTCATGCATTAGTGAAAAGTGTATGGTTTGGAAGGAAGAAGGTGTTGGGACCATACCTGCACTCTGGCCTCGATGAGGTCCAGTCTGAGGGCTAGGGCTTCCCTCATGAAGACGTCAGGGTAGTGGGTGGTCTCAAAGGTCTTCTCCAGCTCCTCCAGCTGCCAGCTGCTGTAGTTGGCCCGCGCACGACGCTGCTTCACTGGCCTCTGTTCATCTGGAAAGCACGGCACAACCGCCAATTACACAATCGCCAACGGTTGACAAGGAACTAATGGCTCTAGATTGGATCATTAGCGCCGACGTTCATTAGGCCCTCTTTAACCGTGCTTGATAATTGATTGTTAGTTACGAGCTGTTAGAAAATCTTTTGTAAACATTTACTCTGCCATCAGATGGTGCTCAGTGAGTCTATGAGAAAATACATTCCAACAATCAATAAGCCAACACGTATCTGTAATAAATTGTCACACATGAATGTAAATATCCATGTGCTAATGCAGACTGTTGGTTGGAACTCACCCATGCTGTCTGTGAACTGCCCCATCCCAGCTGCCTGTGTGGCCAGGAACAGAGCCTCCTTGCAGGGCTCTGGTTGCAAGTAACTCCGCAGGGACTCATAGCTGATCAGGGGCCCAGGGATCAGGAGCTGTGGAGGGGAGCCCAGTCTGGTGGGGAACACAGGGAAGAAGTGTGCTGCAGACGAGTGGAAGACAGCAGGTAGAAGAGTGGAGACCAACTGCCCAGGGCTAAACATTATCCAAAAGCTCTTAGAGGAGTCCAGAGTCTTAAGTGTCCATCCACTGGTATAAAGGGGACAGTCTGATCCCCAAACACTGATACCAAAACAATGGGACGTATCTCAGGAGTTATTTCACAACATCAGAGTAAACATTCTTGTTGAGGTTGGCTCAAGATGGAGCAGAGTCAAGTCTTGAGGCTTCTTTACCACAGTGAAATCAAATAGGGCTGTTAATGAGAAGTACATCACCAGGTCCAGAATGAAAGAACTCACAGAATCTTCAACCATCAATTCTGAGGGATGAATTGCAGTCATCAGCCATACATTGACTCTCAATCCAGAAGGCTGCCTAAGATGAAGGTTGACATGGAGACTCAGGCAGAGCACAGGTGAGATGCAGGTGATGGGTGGGGAGGCAAGAGAGGACTGCACTCAGCAGGTAAAGGGGGTCTCACCTTAGTCTGGTGAGGTTCTCTCCTATCCTGCTGTTCCCCCTCCTCCCTCAGCAGTCACATGACTCACAGTGGGCCCAAGACTGACTCCTGGGTGTGAGAGAGAGAGGGCTGGGCTTCAAAGAAATGGAGATAGGAATGTGAATCTGACCCATCTCCAGGTAGATTTTCACACCATGGTATCATTCAATCAAAGTCCATTTAAAATCACAATGTACACTTTATCCTCTTCAACACACCAATCCCATACAACGTTTTGCATTCAACTTACATTATAGAAGCAGCTTCCACCCCTCATTTCATGTTGCACTCTGCATGGATTTGGTGTCTGAGGTTTACTTTGGACAAGTTAAGACACCTTTTAGGTTCTGAAATGTCTATCAAAGTGATGGATCAGACATCAAGGTGTGGAAATGACATTAAAAAAACAAAAGCTTGAACGTTCAGTTGAACACGTACACCACAAATATTTGAGAATATATCTTGTCTTTCAATTAATAGTTGTCAAGCAGAATAAGAAGAAACGATTCCGATGACATAAACTGGTACAGCCCTTCGGAGATGATCAAAACAAGCTCAGAGGTGCCATACACAGAGCCACTGTTGCCAAGGTAAACAGGTTCACGCTAATTACACCACCTAATTGACATGAAGTTGAATGATGACAATTAGCTGGATCGAAAATATTTACCTAACACTTATTTCCTGATCTGATGTTCGTTTTGGATGTTAGATACTCTAAATGAAGTCATTATACACTCCAAAAGTTTATACAATTAAAAAGAAATGCTTTCCTAATAGCTAGGTCTAATCTTTCAAATGAAACGTTCAACAAAAACAATGGAAATGCTGTCATTAAATGACTCAAGTGGTCCCATCTCTACTAGTCTTCAATCGAGAATAGGATCACCTGTTCAAATAGAAGGTATTGTTTGGTCTTCGGTTGAAGACAGAGTTCACTGACAATGGCTGTGGGTCAGGGCTCCTTGGTCTTTGAAAACAGATAACTTTCACAGCTAAGCTTCAACTGGAATTTGCACCTATTTCATGTTTTTATATATTTATTAAAACGTCTTCCTCATTCTCTCTGGGTAATATACACAATCCTAACATAAAGACTATAACAATTACATTGACATAGAGATTCAAATCGATAGGGATTTAATGGAAATAATGATAACCGCAAGCGTTGGAATTGTAAATATGGTGAATTTGGTATGATTGTGTGCAGGGCTCCCTTGTAAAAGGGGCCTTGGGTTCAATGGGATTTTCCAAGTTTAAATCAATTTAAATCAAATTCAAATAAACCTATAAACAGGTATTACCAGTGTTATAAACAGATGCAAGCAGGTTTTGTTCCTATGTAATAAGTTAAAGTGTTACTCAATCCCTCTTTCATGTCATCAAGTAAACTGTCCCAAATCACAGCTTAGTACGGGGCCTCAAAGTAAATCTCCACACACGCTGGAAGGAAGGTAATACAGGACTGTACTCCATCAGACCGTGACAGAGAGAGCACATTCTCTCACATAAGAGCACGTATCCACTACGCTTATCCACCACAAACCTTATACACAATAATTAGATCTCACACCTTCACACACACTCTCTCTCACACACAAACACACACACTCCTTCTCTCACATAGTCAACTCACGTTCCTGTACATACTCTTAGAGATCATCCACACCTTTCCCAAGCGGTCCAGCTGTGGCCCCGGTGTTGAAGGATCTCTGATGAGTTGATCATGATGAGCACTGACTGTCTATGATGTGAATGAAACACAGGTGTGTCAATTAATCCGGAGATACATTTCACCTAACACACCCCGCTAACTGCTTATCGGATCAGACGGTGGCTAGAACACGCCACTGTCATGGTTGTCACCACTAACTGGCGGTTTGAACTGCATACCTTTGATCAGTTCCAGAACATCAGCAGGAGACATCTGGCCAAAGCAATGCTCCCAACACCAGGGGAAGGTGAATCACTGTCTAGTCAGAGGACAGCACCTCTCTCTCCTCTGCAGTGGGGCTTTCATCCACACCTGTTCAAACACAAAATAAAGCCTACGCACAGGTATAAAGAGGTCAATAGGCAAACATCAGAAATACCTGGACAATCTCTATGTTAAGCTGAATCTGTGAGCATGTTCATTGGTGCGTGTGTATGCGTGCGACAATGGGGCATCAATGTTCACTCTGATCCAGCAGCCCCCAGTCATTTCTTGGCTTTGCCATTTCTAAAGTGAAAAGGAAAATAGATTAAAAGTGTCTAGTTTGAAGGGTGGCTAAATAAACATTGTGTGTGGGGTGGGACTGAAATACTGAATGGCCATCTCTGTTCCATTTGTCCTTGGCACACGGGTAGACAGAGGGATTTCTGGGATGTCTGAAAGTAGATCCCACTCCTCCTGCTGTGTTTGGTCTGTCCCGGGTTTCTCTAATGCCCACTGATCCAGCTAATCAGGGGAGAAATTGGTGAAGAAACAGCAGGGGTGGTTTAGCCATCAGTAAGGGGCTCGTGCACAAATGAGCTGCTTGTGGATAATTGAAGGAGGCATTAGGACAACAATGGCAGTGGCTCACACCAGTCTTCACTGGTCTCTCAGGTATTCCCAGGTCCCTGGATCACATAGCAGCCCCTGAAATCCACAGCAGGCTTAAATAAAAATCACAGCATCATTAGTGGGCCTTCAACATTGGGGGGCAAAATGCAGCTTCTCCATGGATTTAAAAAACCCACCAACGTTGTTGTGCCTCTTTTTCCATTACTGGCTTTAGTTTGAAATGGACTTGTTTGAGCTCGTATTTATGGCTTACAGATGTAAATGGAAAGGGATAGTTCCAAAGAGGGCAAGAGAAGCAATTTATGGAATGTGGGAATGAGAAATACCAATACTCTGCAGTATAAGAACAAAATAAAGAGAAGCTATTTAGGTTAGTGCAGTGTTAGGCAATACATGTATGATACATATCAAAAGCCTTCAATGTTCTTTTTAAAGGACCTTTGAAACTATCAGATTTAACTGTGGATGTGTTAGTACAGGACCTTAGATGACAGAAATTGGTAACAATGCACAATATCATTAATACTCATCCATTAGTGACACTTCAAAACATCAGACTAAAGTTCTGCCAAATGTCTTGTGAAGATGGATGATGTTCGTTAGTGTCATGGGAATGTGCATATGGCTGGTGTAATTTGCAGTCTGAAATAGCAGCAATGAGCACTGATAGGATCAACTTTTAATGAGAGCATAAGTGAAGCTTAAGGGTTGTCACTTAACTGTCTCTGTTGTTAATGACTTTTCAGATGATTAGACAGATTTTTCAGACAGGGGTCTACCTAAACTCCAACTCCCTCACTCATTTATTTCTGATTAATTGCAAATTGTCAAACATCTCACATGAAATCACAACAAGGTTATCTGATCATTGGTTGCTTGTGTTTGCACTTACTCTTACTGATCAAAGCATGGCAATACAATTGAATTCCGTCTTTTATTAAATTATTATGATGGATGTGTTTGTCACATCCAGGGAAGACAAAGGGACATGTGTTTTAGAGCAGAGGAAGCCCCTATCTGCTCGATGCCTCACTCTCTCTGGTTGCTAGGAGTATCCGGCAGAGAGCAGGCTGATTGGTTTAGTGCTGGATCACTGGCTATGGGATAAAGCTGAGAGCCAAGCATGCTTTTCATGACAAAACGTTCAAGGGAAAGCGGCCACGATCCAAGAGCAATCACACTTTAGGCTTCAAAGTGCCAGGGAAAAAGAGAGGCGAGAGCCGGTCCACATTTTTTCCACGCCGGCCAAGTGCAACTCATGCGTGGAGGAAGACGAGATGATCTAAGGAGAGGAAGACAGGTGTGCAAGGGGCAGGTAGAGGCACATCGGGGCCCCTCCCAGGGGTGAGTGAGAGACAAGGACTCACCCCCACCTTCCACCCTCCTGCACTGTCCACTTTCACATGAACTAGCAAATCAACATATTACACATTAAAACAACTCTTTAAACTCATCTTTATGGGTTTACAATCTGTGACTTTTCATAAAGCCATGATAGGGCTTAGTTACAAAATACCTCATGTGCAGCAGTAAAGATGATTGATATAAGGGAGTTCATGAAGCTTAACTCGGAGCATGGCACATTGAGAGGGTTTTAGTACAGACCACAGCACCAGCTGCTTCTGAGGGCATCAAACGCTAGTCTGATGTGATGATGAATCAAGGCAGAGGTTGTTAGCATGTCAGTGGCCCATCAGGCTAGTTAATGACAGCCCCCTCTTTCCACCTCCTCCTCCTCACTGGCTGTCACTCATCTCTGTTCTGCCTCACTGCCACCAAGCCAATGGGATGCTGGCGCCTCACCAAGAGCCCAGGCAGCTACGGCATTTGTTGCTGGATAACCACAAACACAACTTTCAACTCACTGTGTGCTATATAACACCTTAAGGTGCAATTAACACATCAACCAAAAAACAAACAGTGGGAGGAGAGCACAGACAAGTATAATTAGGGCAAGAATAATTGCAGTACATAGAAATTGGGAAAGTATAGAGATACAAATAAATACACACAATACAAACGTGAGGTGACATGTTTTCATACACATACAAAATAATACAAGGCTTTTTTGTGAACAAATTGTAGTACAATAGTTTGCAGTACATGCAATAAGAAACATACTTGGACAATTAGTCAACCAGTCCAAGAGACAAGCCTTTTTAATTCCAATTTGTATCCAATTGATTATGCACAGCAGTACGTATGATGGTGAAAACCATAACGGGGCAGAATCACTTGCACATTTTAAGACATTTCCACCCCTAGCTTCCCATCAATTATGACATGTTAAAAGGATAGTGGGGAGCAGATCATTGGACATATGTGGACCTCATTGAAGGAGGCTGCTTTCATCAGGCCCATGTGTGCAGTATCTAGAGTGGCTGTCAGTCCCCAATGGACAAAAGCGTCCCCTGACCCACCAGTGTGGGCATGTTCCACCTTCACATAGGATTCTCCCATAACTAAACAACTGCTTCCACTCCATGTCCCACCATGTAATCCAACACCAGCAAAGTACATTTCAGTGCTGGCCAAAACAGCCTGCCCACATGCAGCCTTCAACGAGCGCTTTGGTCTGTGTGATTGAACAATTACTGCCTTGGTTAATTTCCCATAAATGGGCGAGGAAGGAACACTTAGCTGGGTTACCTGCACGTTGTTTCGCCTACCCCTTTGACTCCACTGAGAGGGTTTCTATGGCACTGGGCAAAAACAACTCACACTTTCATGGCAAATTGGTTTCCATCACAGCGTTCATTGCATGCCTTTAATTTGTCTTCTACACCCCAGTGCAAAGACTGCATAACTATGACAGCCATTTCAAACATGATCAGGCTCAGAGAATGCATGGAATGAAATATGAAGGCACCAGGGTCTTGCTCCATTAACAGTTGCTTCGTTTCTGTTGTTTGAGGTAGTGAAATGTTGATGCACAAAAGCAATAATTAGTTTCTGGTGAAATTCCAAAGATATGTCTACACAATTTCAGCTGGTAACTGACTTCTCACATTGAAATGCTTAAACATGCCACTGACACCATTATGGTATGAACTCTCTGGGATTAGAAGCAACAGAAAAAAAGACATGTCATTTGGCACCCTGGTTTTATGTAATGTTATTCCTATTATATTTGAGAGACAGAAATCCATCATTTCAAAAATAATATTTATTTTATTCAATTTATGACAGTGGTTGATAGCCAGTATTCATTATTTCAAAAAGAATAGAAGCACTCAAAATAAGCACTACCATTGCAAAACCAGTATGAGTGAAAAAAATGTTTTTTTCTTTTTTTTTACAAGAATCACTATCACCATCTACTGAACACTTCGATATTACCTTTGAATCAAATAATCAGTTTGTCTAAATCCATAAATCCTGATAAATTGACCAAACTGATAAAAAAGCACAGGGCAGTTGTGTATGACTTGAGTCTTACTCCACAATACAAAAACATTATGGTGACACTGCCTCCCGTCAGAGGAGAAGGACTTGTACCTCCGGGTCATCACGTTGTTGCCTCCATGTGCAGGACCTTCATGGACTCAGAGATCATAGAGCTGGTGTCAATCTGCCCATAGATCCCCACCAAGAAGGCCTTGTGGAGTAAGATGTCTGCATGCTCTGAGGAGAAAAGCACAATGAATCCTTATACAGCTTGAAACACAGAACAGTTCACTTTCCAACTTGTGAGTTTAGACCCATAATAAGGACCAAGCACAGAAGCTGTGTAGTGCTGAGAAGATAGGACAATCATACCTTGACAGAGCAGCACGTATTCTGGCAGGTTCCTAAGCGCTGTCTGCACCACGTCAAAGTTCCCACTGCCCATACAGTACATGAAGGTGGGCAGGAAGTCTGCTGCCATGCTGCAGCACCGGAAAAAAAACCCATCTTACTTAGGACACGTAACTTTAAAGAAACATTATTTTAAGATGAGGCAACACCTTACAGGTACCACTACAGAAACATTTGCAGCCAAACATTCCTAGACCTCATCAATAAATTCATATCCAGCCAGACAACTGGAGCTCTCTCTCTAGATTCCTACATAAATCAGCAGAGAAATCCTAGAGGTGTCAGCAGGCTAGTCTTACCATGGGTTGTTCTGGATGCAGCGCAGGGCCAGGCTGAAGGCCATGTTACGACACAACTCCTCAGTAGAACTCATCAGTCTCTGCAGGTCATTCTGAGGGCAGGGAAGGCAATGAAAACCTGTTTATTTATACTGTACATAGTGGTGCAAAGCAGAGTCTGTGTTGGGGGAATTATTTGTTCATAATAAAGGTCTGTTATTAGAAGGTGAACTTACAGTGAAGTGCTGAATGATCTCAGGATTCCTCTTGGACTTGTCCTCCACCTCGGTCAGAACTTCCAGAACATCTGAAACACAGCGGGTAGTAAAATGTTGGTAAAGTTCATCAAAATCCCTGAAGTCACGTGTTAAACTGACATGAGAGTATGTATACATGAATGACCTTCTATGGCTTCTCCCCTGGAGATCTTCTTCAGGTACTTGGTCATGTCAGCTGCAGTCAGTGGAACGGAGGCTGAGATACTGACCATGGGCAGGGAACCAGAGGACGACTCATCTGATAGGAGGAAACACAGAGACGTGTCAAAAACACCACAGCCGTTGATACAAATCAACCTTCTCGCTAAAATGGGTATGTATCTGTATACAGTCAAAATATGTAATTCATTATTATATTTTCTTTCATTTGCCAAATTGTTGATGTGTTCTGATTCTCTTATGTTTTTTCATTCAAGGCAAAGTTTTCCACAAGCGGATAAGCTTACCATCTCTGTCCTCAGCAGAGCTGTCAGAGGAGCCAGTCTTCACAGGCAGGGTGAGGCCAGCTAGCAGGGACTTGAGCAGCAGGTCAGGGTGCTCTGACGAGAGCCCCCTAGTGGGACAAACAGAGAAACAAAAGTCACTCCTTCGCTGCTCCACACAACATGAAATAACAACTAACATTTAAGCAATTGTGTTGCCAATCCTAAAGTCCCAATAATAATTGTGAAAAACCAAGCTCAATAACTTACTGCAGGATATCGGAATGCTTCTGTAGATAGGGAATGGCTGCTGCTGCATCGTGGGTAATGTACTTCTGAATGAACTGCACAAATTTACTGAAGACGGCCAACGGATGCATACGAGGTCTCCTGAGGTTCTGCAAGGAATATGGACAACAAACATGATTAACTCCATGATCAATATGAGCTTTATTTGAATGCACAAAGCAGTTGACCTTGTGGAAATACTACTGTTCTATGGAAAACACATTAGATCTAGTCAATATATCCAGCCAACCACAGCTGTAACAGTGACAACAATGTATTCGTTCCCCACCTATGAGAAGTCAAATACCTCTGAAACACTAAAAAGAAAAACACAAGCAAATATCACCAAACCACCTGTAAAAGCCTCTGAGGTTGATCTTTGAGTGCGTTCTGTGTTCATCCCCTCACCTGCAGGATCTTCATGAAAGAGAGCAGGCAGTCCTGCAGCGCCCTCTGGTGTTCACTGTGGAACACTAACGGCTGCAGCAGCTCCAGGATGGCCAGCACGTTGCTGAAGAACGTCAGGTGGTTCTGGCTCCGGAACTCCTGGAAGTTGAGGTGGATGCGTCCGTGGAGAAGTGCTCCGATCATCGGCAAGTGTCTGGAAACCCAAGAAAGGTAAGCTGTGATCATTCTCCAGATGTTCCACCTCACTACAGCAAAGGTGAGAACCAAAAACATCACCATCAGCTAATGTAGCCATGAAGCTACAATCTACCATAAGAGGTGCATGAATTCATATGTCCAACATGAAGTTTGTAATGAAGATGGTGTTCACCTGAGGAGGAGGACAGGGTGGGACACAGCCAGCTTCCTGCAGGCCAGGTTAGCGTCTGACATCCGGTTCTCAGCCGACTTGGTGTCTCCTGTATCGCCTAGCAACGTGACCAGACGGTGAACCAGGACGTCGCGCTGAGAGGGAAGGATCACACATCAGTCATTAAGACTTCTATAACGGCTTCTGTGTTAGTCAATGACTTTGAGAAACAGTAAGGAGACTGCCCGCTGAAGGTCTAGTCTACCTTGCATGTGGTGCCGTCGGCGGCCCCCTCGCCGCTCAGAGTGGCGTCAGGTAAGGTCACGTGCTGGATGACCTCTGGGAAGTGCAGGTAGAGCTGGAGCAGGAGGTTCTGGCACCGCTTACTCATCACACTAAGGAACACACAATGGAGTTAGTTAGCGAACATCAGACAACAGTTTCTACACAGCAGACAGTGACAATGGTCTCCTACTACAATCCTCGTCTGATGTGGGCCTAGTTAGTTGGCTCATACATGTCAGACCGTCTACGAATCAACAGGATTTATGTTCACTGGTCATCACTGCCAGTGTTTTCCATAAACAGCAACAACCTTGACCAAGAGTCAGATTCCACTCTGTCTCTTCAACAACCATCATGTAATTGGAGTAAACACCAGCTAATCTAGCGATGAGCTTTAAAAGAGGAGACTGTGAGGAGAATGCCTAGCACACAGGGAAATGTTTATCCCACACAAGGCCAAACAGTCTGCTTTGTAAGACGGGTTTTAAGCAATCTATGTTTTCAGTCACAACTATTTGTACAAGACAGCTTAGCTGTGCTTAAAAATATTGTAATTGGAAAGATAATTTTGCTGCTTGACCTTGGCCAGAGTTTCCCCATTAAAATTGGTTTAATAACCAGAGGCAGACTCATGAAAGAAGGTTTGGCTTCCACAAAGAGGAGTTGCACCCTGATCTCTGACAGACGGCTAAGTCTGAGCAGGAATCCACAACACAGGCAGCAAGTTTAGAGCTGCAGCCCTAATCCTCTTGGCTTTATTATAATACACTGAGCTTTTAAAGAGATCACAGAACACACGACTTCTGGTCATTTTAATTTCACACCAATAGACCTAATTATCGCCTTTCCCCTGGTCCACACAGCATTGTGTCTGACAGAACATTCAGTCTGTGAATTTCATCTGTTCCGTCCAGGGGTTATCTAGTGATATGGCTCCAAGTTTATCAGCTCGGTTTAAAGAGGCCAAAGACCAAGTTCAATACTGGGGCTAATTAGGGAGGGTGAAAAATATGTCTAACTAAATGAACTGTGGGCACTTTAGTGAACCTTATGGGACCAAAATGTTATGGAGTGTCATGTCTGCTGTTGCTGAAGGAACATATGGGGTATTGAGAGAGAGAGAGGTCATCTCTGTCTAGAGTAGATCACATGGCAACAGATCACCCTGTAAATACTATAAAATTCACATTGGACAAGCCTGACTAAGCATGTCAGTCCGAGAGCCAACACCCCACCCATACCTGTCTCCCCATTTCTTTGTGCAGTTGATGAGGTATTCCGATACTTTCTTCACTCTCTCCAGGTCACCATGGCAACAGCTTTGGAGCAGGGGCAGCCGTGACTGGATGAGGGAGCAGGAGGTGTGGTCCAGGGTGCTCTTGGCGTTGCCGGGGGCGTTGGCAGTGGGTGAGGAGTCACCGCGGCTGTTCAGCTCAGACTCTGACATGATGAGGTCCACCAGACTGATAAGCTCCTCCGGGTTCAACCGCAGGACAAACAAATCTGTCTGTTTCTGGAGAAAGAGCGAGAGAAAGAGAGAGGGAGAGAGGGTGAACAAGAGAAGTATTGGAAGCAGTCAGGCTGAGGAGCAACAATGTTCTCTGGTTTGTGTCATGTGACTGGATTAATTGAGGTCATTATTTGAGGGCTAGACTGGTGTACTATACTACCTGTGGAGTCTTCTGGTCCCGGCCTTGCCAGATACGAGGGATGTGACTGCAGGCCCACAGGAAGTCCAGAGCAGAAGATGGGTCCAGTCTGGAGAACAGCATATGCAACACCATTACAGAACATTACAATACAACTTTCACTATTTGGGCAACACTATCATCTCAGTGTGAATACTACTGCTGAAGGTAATGATTTGAGTTTGATATGCTGACTGACCGCTGGTCTTGCTGCTTGCTGAGAAGAGCACTGATGCACTGATGAAGAGTTTTCCAGTTGGACTGATGGGTCAGCAACGCCAGAAGGTATGGTCTGTAGGAGGGAGTTCCTTTACCCTGGAATAAACCACATGAAAGGTGGTGAAGTACACACACACACACACACACACACACACACACACACACACACACACACACACACACACACACACACACACACACACACACACACACACACACACACACTGATATTTGCTGAGATTACCTTGTTGAGAGCAAAAAGCAGCTTCCGCTGAAGGTCTGGACACACAGATGTGACCTCAGGGTCAAGAAGTCCCAGCCAATCAACAAGCAGCCCTGAGCTGGACCCGGTCTTTGTCACCTCGGAGCTGCTGCTGAAAGGGAAGTGAATAGATTGACAGGCTCAAGGTCGGGCTACATGAATGATGAATCTATAGAATCCCTCAGTCAAACAAAGTACTGATTATTAAACATACAATAGTAACATTTCTAGGGCATTACAAAACACATAAAGCCATAAACAGACAAACAAAATGTATGTTTGCTGTTTTCTATGAGATCAATGCCACACTTAACCAGATTTGTTTGTTGTTGTTTGAGTAAGTCAAAGGGACAAAATGATTTGAGCGTGATAGACTTGACATGCTTACTTGTTTACATCCACCTCTATTTTCACGGCTTGCTCTTCAGTCTCCTGGAGAAGCAGTGCCATCACCATGGCAACAGGGCCTGCGGTGGTAGAGCCGGTCCCCGTCTCTGTTCCAATAGTCATTAGCAAGGACAGCAGTTCCTCCAAATAGGGAGACTTCCCCTCCACTAGCCCCTGTAACACTGGGAACAACAAACAAACAGTACTGAGTGTTATGAGATTACATGTGATGTGATGGTTGCAACATTCCCGCAGCTACGGTGGAACATTCAGAAGTAAAAAAAAAAAAACCTGGCCATGACGCTGAGCTCAGGAAAAATCTTGTGATTCAAAGGAGAAAAATAAACATTGTGGGGGCAAGCCAATACCACACACCAGAACTATGAACTACCAACTACCATTATTGCATTTTTGCGTAACCTAGATCACCAGCTTGGCCGCAACCAGTTTAATGTCAAAACATCCTTCATCTGGGCTTGATGGAGACCTGAGCCCATATTGGACATAAACAAGCTGGAAGCCGCTGGTCTGGTTTGGTTTCAGAGAAGAGCTTATAAAAACTCATAAGGAACAGGTCAACAAAGGAAAAACAGAGACACACAGGAGGCAATGAAAAAAACTGATGTGGGGAAATTGCGTAACATCAGCCACCACATCCAGACTGGGGCAAAAATAGTGAGGATAGTTGATGTTCTAGCCTGAGAGAGAGTTGTGAAAGTGTCATTTCAGCCTGAAAAGAGACATATTTTCCCACAATAGAGTGAACGAAGCACTAAAGTACCATACCTTTGCCTATCAGTTCTGGCTCTGCGTTACATCTCTCCCCTGCCTTCAGTGTGGCGATTATGGCTCTCACGGCCACCTCAGAGTCCCTCCGATAAACCAGGGCCTCAGCCAGGTGGAGGAAGCCTGTACGAACTGCAGAGGAAAGGCACACTTAGTTATCATCACATCGTTAAGGTTGAGATACCGTAGATTACTCTAACTGTGACTAGGCCCAAGTGTGAAATGACACCCCATTCCCTATATAGTGCAATACTTCTGACCGGCATCAAAAGAAGAGCAATACATACTGTATATGGGCAATAGGGTATCATTTAGGATGCAGCCAAGAACATAAGGAGCACCCACCATCAGTGAGCCGGTGCTTCTGGGAATACTGTCCAGCGAAGGACTTGAGCAGGGCACGTAGCGGCCCCGCGTCCACGGCCGAGTTCTCCAACCATGTCATCATCTCCATGACAGCCTTGAAGAAGAGAGAGGAGAAGGCCACGTCCTGCGACACCAGACGCTGAGTAGAAGAGATGAAGACCAAGAGAAGGTGAGAAATACATGTTAAATCAACTCAATACAGTCACATCTGTTTGGTGTAATGGCAAACATCCATATATTCAGTGATGACTGATGAAAAACAAACAGACACACACATACAGTGGTGGAAAAGTACTCAATGTTCATACTTCAGCAAAAGTAAAGATACCTTCATAGAAAATGACTCTTGTAAAAGTGAATGTCACCCAGTAAAACATTGAGTAAATGTCTAAAAGTATTTGGTTTTAAATATATTTAAGTATCAAAAGTAAATGGAGTTTCTAAAATATATTTAAGAATCAAAAGTAAAAGTATAAACCATTTCAAATTCCTTATATTAAGCAAACCAGTTTAATTTTTTTATTGACGGTTAGCCAGGGGCAAACTCCAACATAATTTACAAACGAAGCATTTGTGTGTAGTGAGTCCGCCAGATCAGAGGCAGTAGGGATGACCAGGGATGTTCTCTTGATAAGTGTGTGAATTTGACAATTTTCCTGTCAAAATGTAACGAATACTTTTGGGTGTCAGGGAAAATGTATGGAGTAAAAAGTACATAATTTTCTTTAGGAATGTAGTGAAGTAAAAGTAAAAGTTGGCAAAAATATAAATAGTAAAGTAAAGATACCCCAAAAAACTACTTAAGTAGTACTTGAAAGTATTTTTACTTAAGTACTTTACACCACTGCATATATATATACACACAGTTGAAGTCGGAAGTTTACATACACTTTTTTTTTCAACCAATCCACACATTTCTTATTAACAAACTATAGTTTTGGCAAGTCGGTTAGGACATAATAATAATAATAATAAGCCATTTAGCAGACGCTTTTATCCAAAGCGACTTACAGTCATGCGTGCATACATTTTTGCGTATGGGTGGTCCCGGGGATCGAACCCTCTACCTTGGCGTTACAAGCGCTGTGCTCTACCAGCTGAGCTACAGAGGACCACGACATCTACTTTGTGCATGACACAAGTCATTTTTCCAACAATTGTTTACAGACAGATTATTTCATTGTATCACAATTCCAGTGGGTCAGAAGTTTGCATACACTAAGTTGACTGTGCCTTTAAACAGCTTGGACAATTCCAGAAAATGTCATCATGGCTTTAGAAGCTTCTGATAGGCTAATTGACATAATTTGAGTCAATTGGAGGTGTACCTTCAAACTCCGTGCTGCTTTGCTTGACATCAGCCAAGACCTCAGAAAAAAAATTGTAGACCTCCACAAGTCTGGTTCATCCTTGGGAGCAATTTCCAAACGCCTGAAGGTACCACGTTCATTTGTACAAACAATAGTACGCAAGTATAAACACCATGGGACCACGCAGCCGTCATACCGCTCAGGAAGGAGACGCGTTCTGTCTCCTAGAGATTAACGTACTTTGGTGCGAAAAGTGCAAATCAATCCCAGAACAACAGCAAAGGACCTTGTGAAGATCCTGGAGGAAACAGGTACAAAAGTATCTATATCCACAGTAAAACAAGTCCTATATAGACATAACCTGAAAGGCCGCTCAGCAAGGAAGAAGCCACTGCTCCAAAACTGCCAAAAAAAAGCATGACTACGGTTTGCAACTGCACATTGGGACAAAGATCGTACTTTTTGGAGAAATGTCCTCTGGTCTGATGAAACAAAAATAGAACTGTTTGGCCATAATGACCATCGTTATGTTTGGAGGAAAAAGGGGGAAACCGAAGCCGAAGAACACCATCCCAACCGTGAAGCATGGGGGTGGCAGCATCATGCTGTGGGGGTGCTTTGCTGCAGGAGGGACTGGTGCACTTCACAAAATAGATGGCATCATGAGGAAGGGAAATTATGTGGATATATTGAAGCAACATCTTAAGACATCAGTCAGGAAGTTAAAGCTTGGTCGCAAATGGGTCTTCCAAATGGACAATGACCCCAAGCATACTTCCAAAGTTGTGGCAAAATGGCTTAAGGACAACAAAGTCAAGGTATTGGAGTGGCCATCACAAAGCCCTGACCTCAATCCAATAGAAAATGTGTGGGCAGAACTGGAAAAGCGTGTGCGAGCAAGCAGGCCTACAAACCTGACTCAGTTACACCAGCTCTTGTCAGGAGGAATGGGCCAAAATTCACCCAACTTATTGTGGGAAGCTTGTGGAAGGCTACCCGAAACGTTTGACCCAAGTTAAACTATTTAAAGCAATGCTACCAAATACTAATTGAGTGTATGCAAACTTCTTACCCACTGGGAATATGATGAAAGAAATAAAAGCTGAAAGAAATCATTCTCTCTACTATTATTCTGACATTTCACATTCTTAAAATAAAGTGGTGATCCTAACTGACCTAAAACAGGGAATATTTACTAAGATTAATTGTCAGGAATTGTGAAAAACTGAGTTTAAATGTATTTGGCTAAAGTGTATGTAAACTTCAGACTTCAACTGTATATATATAGGCGACAGACAGAGAGCGAGACAGAGAGCGACAGCGAGAGAGAGCGACAAAGAGAGAGCGAGAGATGCAGCACTGTTGCACTGTTTAGAAGGACAGCAGAGTACATCAATCATACCTGGTAGAGGTGCAGCTGGCGCAGTATGGGGCAGGACAGGGCGTGGCTGCGGTTCATGGCCATGACGAGGGCCCCAACGTGGGCAGAGCTGAGCAGGGCAGCCAGGGCCTGTAGGAGACGCACTGCCACCCCACCCTGCTGGGGGTGCCCCCCCTGTCTGGCACGCACCAGCTCTTGGGCCAGAGCCTGCTGCAGGGCCAGGGAGAGGGGCCGGGGAGGGGTGCTGGGCCTGCGGTGGTCCACCTTCAGAGGGAACATCTGTGAAGACAAAGCCAGAAGTATTAGACCCTCAGTCAGCACTCTGAGAACAGGTGGTAGATCGGACTACATTAATAACCACAAACAACTCTGTCAGCTAGGATAATCAATCATTTCACTGTAGGCTACTTGTGCAGGTATGATTAAAAAGCCTTGATGTCTGTTTTATCAGACAAACTACAAGAAAATGGTTGGTGAAATCAGAGATAATAAAATGATTGGCTCCATAAACTTGACTTCAGACAGGTATTAATGTGTCATCAATCTCCAGGCAGATATACATTCCTACCTGAAGCAACATGCCGGTGAGGTCATCCTCAGGCCCAATCACTGGGATCTGATTGGCTCTCATCTTCAAGGAGCAACTAGGAGTTTCCACAGTAACTTTGGCCCTGTTCACCTCAGTACTATCTGTAAGGTTAAACATCATAGTCTTCAGTTATTGACAGGTATGGACCCAAAATACCAAAACGGTGTTTTTACTGGGCTGTTCCAAAACTTTTATAAGAAATGTACCACAGAGAGGCATTAGAAAACATAAATAGCATATTAATATGTAATCACGGAGTAGTAAGAGACTGACTGACCTCTGCGAGGAGGGAGAGAGGAGCTGAGCAACCCGTGGAAAGTGTGCCCCCCTGTGGCACCTCGCTCATGCTGCACCTCCACCAGATGAGCCATGTAGTCTGTAGCACAGGACATACAGAAACATCAGGAATAGAGAATATACCGACAACACTAAATAGTCAGACTTAGACACAGAATCATCAGGAATAAATTATATGAGCACTAGCTAAATAACTGAGGCAAACATTATCCACGTGGAATAGATATAGTGTAGTAGGATAGTTAGTGGTCAAGCGCTCTCACTCTTGTCCATGATGTTCTGTTCCAGTGTCTGTGAGTCGTGGGACACGGCCTGGTCCAGGTACTGCAGCAGTTTACTCATACTGGACACGGGGATGCCAAACGACTGGACAAACAGCAGCAGCTGCTGGGGCTCCAGATCCTGCAGCGCTGCAGAGGACAGACATAGTATCAGAAATACCATCATTATTTACGGTAGTATTTTACACCATATACTTCTAACTGCATGTATTTAATGTGTTTGGACTTGTACCTGCATCCACCAATCGTGCGACCTCTGACCGGATCATCCTCAGCTTCAACCAATCAGGAAGCAGCAGGGCCTCCTCGGATGTGTCCACCAAGAAGGCGGTGGGGAGGGGTTTCTTGTCGGGGAACCAGATGTCCAGGAGGTTGAAGAAGTCACTCTCCTCTGAGAACAAAGACACATTAATCATTCTATATACTGAAACTGATAATGAGGTACAGTAGATAGGCCATGCTTGTAACAACAACTGTGGTATTCAGAGATACATACCTTTGGGTGGCCCCAGTGTCAGCAGAATGACCATGGCATGGACCACCAGAATATGCATGGTGGCTGTCTCCCCTGTGGTCCAACGCAGAAACACCTGGTCCTGAGATTCTGACTATAGAAAGGGTCAAAGGAGTAATGTAATTTCAGTGACAACTGTATTGACAGCAAGCACCTCTAGTTGAAATGATTGATAAGGGTCTACCAATATGAAACCATCTTCCAGTTAGATGCAGAAAATGTAAGGTTAGCCCCACCCCCTCCCAGTAATGATCCAATCCTCACCCAGCTGTAGAGGTCCTCTCCCTCCTTGGTCTTCCTCATCCTCCTGATGTAGCTGGAGAAGATGGAGATGAGGGCTGAGAGCACAGCGTCTGACTCGGGCCGGCAGGAGTGCTTGGAGAACAGGCTGTTCATGATGGTGGAGCGCTCGACAATCAGATGGGCCACATCCTACAGGATCACAAATCAAACCCATCTCAGTATCTAACTATGAAGGCAATACAGGGTGTTGTTCAGTGGGGGAGAAAACATTTTGAAACTACCTGAACTTGTTCAATAAGAACACAGACTTTAGTTCTTCTTGCAAAATGTTTTGCTACGGGGTGCTCTACTGAACACACAACCCAGGTAAATAATAGGAGGTATGACTGAGGATAAGAGGTGTCATGGCTACCAGAGCGAGGTCGTTGTGAGATGCCTGCTCCTCCACTGGTGAATGCTGGGACAGGTAGATGAGGTAGGCGCTGATGGTCTGTGGGTCTGTCTCCATGTGGATGGCCTGGGGAAGAACAGAAACACATCACACATTCTTACCACATCCCTTCAGCAAGAAAACTCACTTTGTGTCAACTACAACTTGAAAATGAGGCCAAATACGGTTCACATTGGTATGAATGGTCTAGACCAGATCCCCACTGACTTGCTGCAGAGCGGTGGAGGTCATGCCCCGGACGCTGTCGAACAGGGGCAGCTTGGGGAGGTCCTGCAGGAGCCACTGGTACCCTGGCAGCAGCTCAGCATCTCTTGAGTCCTCCTCCATGGGCTGGTCCCTCTCCTCTCCATCCTTCAGACCCCCCTCAGTCAGCACCAGAGACAGACCCTGAACAACAGCAGAACAACCAAAGTAGGTGAATACATCTCCTCAGTAAATCAATGAAACACTCATATTAGTGTGTGTCCTGTCTCTTATAATGTACCTTCATAGCCAGGACTCTTGATGCCACTTGAGAAGAGCTGAGGCGGCGCAGGAAGTAGTCCAACACCTCACATGTGGTCTGTTCGTCAGCTTTAGGACCCAACAGCAGATCCTGCAGCCGTCCAAGGAGCTGCCTCTGCTTCTGTTGTCTCTGGTGTAGTGAGAGAGAACAGAAAAATGACATTTGTTGGTTTGTGTGGATGAAATAATGAAATAAAACATGACAAGTTTATCCTTTGAGATGCTGGAGTCAGTGATTTCTCTGACCACAAAAGCTATTCAAAACAAACAGAAATATGGTAGCTGTTAAGAAACGGCAGCATACTTGTCTTTTCTTGGCTCTCTGCTCTTTGCTCTCTCCTTCCTCGTCATCCTCGATGGGCAAGTTGTCATCTGCAGCATCGTGAAGCAGGAATTCACACAGGCACTGCACGGGCAGCACGTCCAAGGACCCCTCACTTGACTGCACCAGGTCAGCCAGCCAGGGCATTGACTGAGAGGAGGCCTGGGGAAAACATCGAACACAGTTGTTAAGAGTTCCTTCCAGAGAGAATACTTTCTATTGGAGAAGGAAGAGCGGTGAGAGAGGATGTGCTCTCGTTTACCTGTCTCTGGATGATGTTGAGCAGGAAGTCAGGGTTGCGAGAGCGGCAGAGTAGGTGACCCAGGCGAAGGGACTGGTTAAGGCTCTTCACCTGCTCCTGGACTGCGGGAGGGGGTTTGCGAGGGGGACCCCTAGAAGTAGGATTACCACATGACTGAAAATGAGTCAGTTTCCCAGACCCAGATTAAGCCTAGTCATGGACTAAAAAGCCCATTCAATGGAGATTTGAGCATGCTTTTTTTGGTCTAGGACTACACTTAATCTGGGTCTGGGAACTGTCCCTAAAAGTGGTCTACAAGGTGCAGGTATGAAGCAGGAGTCTTACTGTGGGTCCAGACTGGTGAGCTGGGACAGCAGCAGGCTGTTGCTCTCTGTAATGGTCTGCTTGGTGGAGGCAGCTGCCAGGTGGCTCTCGAAGGCCAGGATCTCTTGCTTCTCTCTCTGGGACACCTGCAGCTCCCTGTTGATCATCTCGGTCTTGGTCTCCTCATCAGCCACCGTGCATGGAGGGTAGGAGTAGTTACTGCCAAGCAGGGAAAAGTGGGTGAAGAAAGATAAGGTTCGTTGAGTAGCTAGTCTGGTATGTGTTGGGTTTAAACTGATAAATGTTTCATATTTGTTACTTACTTTGTCATGACCATCTCCATGAGCATTTTCAGTGTGGGATAGCCATCCCAGGCAGCCAAGCCTGAAGAAAAATAAATGATTATAACAAAAGGGAAAACCTGTGGCTAATATTCTAATATATACATTGATGATTTGTAGGGAAACCTGGTTGAGACCCATACCTATTTTCTGTGGATTGAAAGCCGCCACCACAAGTAGCAGGAGCCACGCCTTCCAGTAGAGTGTGGCTATCGCCAGGTTCGGAGGAGTATACCTTGAAAAACATCCAACGTGTTATTTACAGAAATATAATTTGTTTTAAGAAAACGACATGAACATCGACTGCCAGCTGACTGGCAAGTTCATTAATCATACTAAAAAAAGAGAGCAACGTACCCTGCAGGCAGCTGAATGTTCTCTGGGTGGTGGTAGGTGCACAGGTTCAGCACTGCATCAATCAGTTGGATCCTCTCCACTCTCAACACATCCAGATCTACAAAAGCAAAACCGGCAAACAAGCTCAATATCCCTCTTTAGGTAATGCCAAATAAACAAAGTTCCCTCAACGTCATCTCTTTTCATGAAAATGTTGATGAAGTAAACTCCACTTACCCATTGCTGTTGCAGATGTTGTACCATCGGACTGGACTCCGGCTGCCCTCTTCACCAGGTGGTCCGCCAGCTCCATAGCGTCGGCCGGGCCCAGGGGCAGGTCTCGGGACAGTCCGATGACCAGGATACGCATCAGAGTGTCCTCCAGCAGAGGCACTTCAGAGCACAGCCGCAGGAAGAAGCTGGCGGAGGCAAAATATTTAAGTGATGTCAACGGAGCAGGGACAGACAGACATGAATAAAACAAATCTAAAACAAAGGTTCGGAAGAGATGCTCACTTTCTGTCGCTCTCAGGAGGCCAGTTATCCCACTTGTAGTAGGTCTCTGGTTGCTCCGTGAAAAGCACCTTGTGAAGACTGGGGAAAAGAAACACAAGTATATTTTGGGTAGAATAATTATCTTAAGTAACTATTGTAGGATGTTTATTAGCTCCTCCTATGTTTATCTTTTTTTAACAATCAAAGTGGCATGAAAACTCCCAAACACATACCAGTGTATATAGTCCTTGGATGGCACTTTGGCAATAGTGGGAACAACAGTGTGAAGCCACCACACAGCATCCCTCTGAATGGCAGCTATATTATTCTGAAAGGATCTCAGACCATCCAGATCTGAAACAGACAAAAAGGATGTTCAAAATGTCCACATTGACGACAAGCAAAGAAGTAACTACAAGAACTTACTCTTCTTCTCTCCTTTGTCCCATGCAACGCCAGCCTCCTTGACCTGAGCTGTGATGCCCAGCATCATGGAGCACGTGAGCAGGTCTGTCACCTGGATCACAAAGCGTTCCTGTGGAAAATAGACAGAGAGCATGAGCTCAGATCCACAGAACGCATATAAGTTATTCATATGTGAAGAGGCATAGAAGGGTATGTAACTAGGTAGGGGGAGAGTTATTTCATGGTACAGGAGACTGAGACAGGGTGGGAGTAATATAGCGTTTATGAGCTCACTTTGAACTCCATGTCGACGTAGGTGGCCTCCTTCCTTTCCTGCATCAGACCCAGGCAGAAGGACTGGAAGTTGATCTCGTGCTTGGTCTGTTTGATGATCTCTCTCAGCAAGGCTCGTGAGGCACGCAGGTAATCATCCTTATTGGTTAGCAGGTCTTGGAACACCATGGCCAGGAACTAAAGAGAGGATCAGAAGAGAGTGAACAGCTTTAAGATGAGCGGTTTCCAAACATCATCTCCTTCTTGTGTTTCAGTTACTAAATAATAAAGTTAAAATATGATCACTCCAAGAATAAAAACGTGTACTTCAATCCAAAGCCAATAAAGCTCATCCTGGTCCATTTCTGAACTCGGGCTTGACATAAAATGTTTTACTTGTCCGAAAGCTGAAGTCACTTGTCCCCAATTATTCCCATTTAAAAGCTGCAACTTTAGGACATTAAACACTTTATTAGAATAGTTTGGAAAATAGTCTTCATAACTTTAATTGGTCTTAATGCTTTATGATATTTCAATTAGTTGGTTCGCAACAGCAAGGTGGGTCTTTTTTTCCCGACCTCGCATGCATGCATCATTTCTGTCTTATAATTCTTTGCTCAACTGTAAGGTTTGTTCAAATTTCTCATTCGATTTTTATATCTTGCTATTGTTTATCTCTCATTATTACCTTAGGCATCCCATGCCTTGAGGTTATTCAAAAAAAACTTCAAACTTTGAGATAGCCTAGAACTCCATTAGATTAATTCATTGTTTGATCATGAAATAGCACGGCAGGAGAAATCTAGCATGCATTAAACTGAGAGTGGCTTAATAGGCCAAGTCATATTAATATCAAATGAAAGATAAAATAGAGAATGTGGGCTTCTATAACAATAAGACACCGGAGTATCCTCTAAATAAATAGACTTTGGCTATTGGCCCAGATCATCCGATATTCGAGAGAGAGAAAAAACAACATTCTGACCGGATATTTTGCGCTGCTTTAGTGATACTCTTACGCCTCGATCACAGGCATTGCATTTTGGTACACCAGAAATACATTAATTTCCAATGGAACGCTGCGTTTGCCCTGCAGCATTGCGTTGTAGAGGCAGTTGCAGTGCGTTCTGTGTGGTGCATACGTTGGATTTATCGAACGTATGCGTGAAACTGTATGTGTAGACGGCTTAACAGAAATGGTAGCAGAAGGTGAATGTTGAACTTTTGTTGCACACATATACAGATGCTGCGTACCATTTTGCGCAATGACACTGCAGGTGTGATCGAGGTGTTAGCTCTGTCTACATTGTTCTCTTGCTTTGTGTAAATATAACATATTTATTGAAATAGGCTATAGCAAATAGGAATATAGGCAATTTACTCAGAATGTCAATCGTTTGATATTGTGATTTTTTTTACTTGTCCATTTGGACAACTGAACTCTATATTCTGGTTGTCTGACATTTTTTTTTTTACTTGCCCCGGACAAGTGGACAAGCCTTAATGTCGAGCCCTGTGAACCACATATATTTACTTTCCCCTCAGTAACTACTAGTAACACATTTTACATTTTCCGCAGGTGTGTTGTCACGTCAGCATGGAATACTCCCTCACCTTAGGGGCCTGCTCTGGGCTGTGCTGGAGCAGTGTGTGAAGGACTTGCATGTTGTTGGGGTTCCTGGCATTGGACAGCTCGTTGAAGATCACCAGCTTCACCATAGTTCCCAGGTTGTCTCTGTGTGCATTCAGTAGCTCCCTGGTAATCAAAGGCCAGACAGCACAGTTAAGTGTATGAATAAAGCGTTCTGCATGAAAGCATTTGAAATATAAATGGTCCCCTATAGATGTTCAAACTAACAACATTGAACACATCAACTATGTTGATATGCAACAACTTTCCAGGGTTAGGGTTGAGGTTAGGGTTGAACCAGGATGTGGACATGAAGCTAAGGTTAGGGTAAGGGTTCTGGTTGAGGCACCTGGGTACTTAGTTGAACAAGTTAGTTGAACATCTATAAACCATGTGTAGGGGACTATCCAAACTAAATAATGATATCGCCATAAGAGAGGACCTGCAGACCTGACACAGAGCATGTAGTGATTGAGGATGACTTTAGGTTTCAGGCGGATCTTGATGAGGTTGGAGATCACCTCCATGTCGTCCGCTCCATGGGAGTTGCAGTTCATACAGAGAGACATGAGAAGGTCCTGAGCTGGACGGGTCAGCTGCAGAGTCAAAAGTCTTCATTATACATAATTTCATTCAAACAGCTGCATTTACATGTTAGATTTGAGGGTGATGTACAACTCTATTGAGCTGGAAGGTGATGGCTCTTATGCCCACTTTAGACCACTATTGCCAATTAAATGATGATTCCTGTTAACTAGTGAAGGTGATGTGTGTAGCTGATTGTTACTCCTCCTGTCACCTTTGGGTTCTGCAGCCACATCTCCAGCCTCTGCACAGCCATAAGCCGCACCTCCTTGTAGCCACAGGTGGCAGTGAGCAGACGCAGCAGGTTACGGGATACATTGTCCATGGGCTGCCTGCGGTTCAACTGGTCCTTCAGGACATCTAGAACATAGTCCTCCACACTCTCAGACAGCTCCTCGTACCTGAGATGAAGAGTGAATGAACGCAAACTGTTCAATGAACTGATCAGTCTAAGTAGAAGTAGACAGACAATCAATATATTACTGCTATGTGTAGTAGCCTATGCCTAAACTAGGTACTACCGTACCTTGGCATAACTTGTCCATCATCTTCAGGGCTAAGTTTCTCCTCAGCAATCAGCAATTCAGTCTGGCTGTCATCCTCATCTGGGGTGGAGGGGTGAGGACTGCTCCCTGGAAAGTTTACATTGTAGTCATTAAGCAGACGCTCTTACCCAGAGCGACTTAGAGGCGCAATTATGGTTAAGTGCCTTGCTCAAGGGCACAGACTGACTTTTCACCTAGTCTGCTTGTGGATTCGAACCAGTGACCTTTCGGTTACTGGCCCAACGCTCTCAACCACTAGGTTACCTGCCGCCCTATGTTAAATTACATAGTAATAATTAAGAGTCAAATCCAATGTCACAGGATTCACACCTGAACAAACCGGTAGGTGCATACATACAGTACTATACCTGCACTGATATCCCCACCGGAGCGGCCAGTGTCAGTCTGCAACTGCAGCAGCATACTCTTTGGGGGCATTTTGGTACTGAAGGCAGTCTGGATGTTGTCCACAAAATTCTTACAATGGGAACTGTCCACCCAAATTCGCTCCCCCAAAGAGTCCTCAATGTACACCTGAAAAGAACAAGAACATGTTAAAGGGGGCACAACAGTGGTAACAATGTAGCTAGAATACAAACAGAAATCCAACAGGAATGATGAGTGGTTCTCACTTTGACAAAGATCTCTGGCCAGTTCTCATCCTCCTCATAGGCTGCCATCAGCAGGTTGCAGGCTAGCACAGACACCAGACTGTTGCCCTTGGCTTTGAAGTTGATGGAGGCATCCCGGCGAAGAAGACTGCACAAGGCCTGTCCACACACAGATAGAGAAAGTCATGAACCAATCTGTATAACAATTGTATGGAACTGATTGTAAAATGTTGGGTTTCAAATCTCACCTCAATAATGCCTTCAGTGGCAAAGACATTGGGCTTAATCTTGGCCAGGAACATGAGGCTGAGGTACAGTGTTATGTCAGGTTTGGCCCGGTTCATCTTCAGCTGTTTGACAGCTCCACAGAGCACCCCTTCAATGCGATCATCATTTCCATCCTGCTCTGCATTCTCAATCTCATCCAGGAGCACTGCTGGGGGGACTGTAAGAAAACCATTGTGTTAGTAATATGCACAGCCACAGCGCATCACAGAATCAGGATTCACAATCCTGGGATTTAACCACTACCTATTCCTCTGGAAAACATATTTGAATTGATACTGTTTCCTACCTTCTATGGGCACCACTGAGGGCTCCTTGATCGAAGGCGATATAGCCCTTTTGTCCACTGCTGCCACATCAGCCAGTCGTCCCAGGGCGCTGACAGGAGGGGTAGAGGAGAGCTTGGGGCGCTTCACGAGGCCGGACAGGCCAGAGGAGGAAGGAAGTGACGAGGAAGTCTCTCGTTTGCGGTCAGTGGGTAAGGTGGACGCTGGCTTAAGGAGAACTGCAGGTGCTTTGGACTCTCCGCCACTCTTTGACCCCAATGCTATGAAATCTCCTGGAGGAGGGTGACCTATTGGCAACATTTGGAAGAGAAACACTTATAATATTATTGTATGTTTGACAAAGGTTTGATGAAGTGGGTACACATAGCTAGATACTGTACATACCTGAGGGTTTTGCAGCACTAGGACGCCTGATCGCTGTAGGCTTGGGACGATTCATCATGTATGCTCACTGCCAGATCATGTACTGTGTGAGATCAGAGATTTCAACATGAGACACACAGGTAGGTAGCTAGCATAGCTACCTGGAAACTGGTCGGTAAATAATTTTCTCATTTCAACATCGAGGCTGCCTATTTGTAAAGCATATTCACATCACGATAACGAATTTATTCCCGAAAAGTGCCTAAAACCTTTGGCATTTGTCAAACTGAAAGGGCTAAGTAGTAGCTACTAGCTAGCTATCTAATGTTATTGCGATCCATTATAGACAGCGGCTAGCTAGTTACGGTTACCGGTATGTGAGTTAGCTAGTAGCTAGCTACAAGCAATTACATCGGCAAAAAGCTAGTTAGATGAACAACCTTACGTGTTAGTTCGTTTCCAATATGCATGGGTACTTATGACTGACTATTGCAATTGCAAACTATTGAATATAAAAAAGAAATAGAGTCGTCTTCACGTCCATGTTGTTTTCCCGAACGGAAGTTCCGCCCCTGAAAGAGTGAGCGTTGAAGAACATCAAAAATGTGCTCATGCTGTGCAGACCTCAAACCAAATGAAGATAAGGCCACTAGGCTATTCAGGATAGAAACATCTGCATTTAGTTATTAATCAAAATTAATGTAGATATTTTTCATTAAAATCATGTATGAGTAATGTTCCCATTGTAATTGTAGACGGGGCCCCGTGTAGCTCAGTTGGTAGACCACGGCGCTTGCAACGCCAGGGTTGTGGGTTCGTTTCCCACGGGGGGGGCAGTATGAAAAAAAAAAAAAAATGTATGCACTCACTAACTGTAAGTCGCTCTGGATAAGAGCGTATGCTAAATGACTAAAATGTAAATGTATCTATCCTATAATGTAATTTCCCAGGTTTCACAAGGAGGCCTAGGCCAAGTGTAATAATGTCTGGCAATGGGTGTTACTATTTGCTTAAAAGTTTTGGAAAAGGAATAAGGTTTCCAAGAATCCTCACAATGATGTCAAGCATGGAAACAGACATTACTGCTCATGACAGACAAAATAAAACAGAAAGGCACACCATAAAGCACACATTGACAAAAAACATGTGTTTGTAATCTTGCCTTGTTAGTGAAAATGCTTTAGTTCTTGTATCTGGTTACCGTTGAAAAACGGCATGGCAATTGTGCTCTCCTTTCATGATACACATTCCATTTTTCTGATGACATAGCCAATTATAGTGCATAACATAGTGGTCCTATTCCCAAACCAAAAGAGGAGCCATTTATCTTACTTTCGACAATGCTACAGTATTCTCCATTCTTTTACATCAGACATGTTTGACACTTTCTCTAATAGCAACCAACTAGCCTACATCTTATTCAGAGACAATATTGCTGAATACCAGTCTTTCATAGCAGACTACTAAGACAAACAAACTGCTTCACCACGTTTCCATAGCCCTGTAACCTGACAACGTGTTACATAAAGTATTTTTCATATGAAACATATTTTGGAGAAGTCAGAGGAATGCTTAATAGTCTTCCAAATATAAATCCTGTGTCACATGGTAAGTCCACAAAACTGCAAAAACAATTTGTGAGTATTCTGTTTCTTCAGAAACCACTCATGGGCAACTATGAGTCAATGTTTTTAAAGAGAAATCCACCCAAAACAGAATCTACCATTTTGTACGCACCTCAGGAAGCTCAAGTCAATGTTGTAGACATAATACAGTGACAATTGCAAGCTGTAACCTTTTAATTTGTTTTACTTAGTACCCAGGGTTGGGTAGGTTACTTTCTAAATGTAATCCGTTAGTTACTAGTTACCTGTCCAAAATTGTAATCAGTAATTTAACTTTTGGATTACCCAAACTCAGTAACCTAATCTGATTACTTTCAGTTACGTTTGGATTACTTTCTCTTTAAGAGGCATTAGAAGACGACAAAATGATCCATCTAGCGCATTTGGTGTGTAATCATAGTGGTCTCTGACTTGTGGTCACAGTCGTTCAGGTGGAACAAACTGAAACTTGCAGCTTTTTTCAATGCTAAATTGAATGTCATTGAGAAAACAGAAAGGTGTCATAATATATATTTTTTTCGCAAACATCATTTCTGAATTTAAAAGAAATCCAAGAAGTAATCATCTAGTTTTTCAGAAATATCTGTCATCTAAATACTATATTTTTGCTGGTAATGTAACTGATTATTATTTTATTTTTTTTGTAATCAGATTACATGTAACTGATTATATGTAAACAGTTACTCCCCAACCCTGCTAATAACTAGACTGAATAAGTTAGTGAAGTCGTGGTCCTCTGTAGCTCAGCTGGTAGAGCACGGCGCTTGTAACGCCAAGGTAGTGGGTTCGATCCCCGCGACCACCCATACACAAAAAAAATGTATGCACGCATGACTGTAAGTCGCTTTGGATAAAAGCGTCTGCTAAATGGCATATTTATATGTTCATCGTCAGTCTGTTGGGGTACTGGAGGTTCATGTTCCAACCCTCTGTAAACAGTAGGGGGGCTCTTTGTTTCAGATAATGTTATCTGAGCTCAGCATCATAGATCGTGGGCATAAAAGCTAACACCTCCTCTGATCTTTATTGTTTCATCTCCTAGTACACTACTGTATAATATTGATATAGTCAAAACAAAGACATGAACAGACAAGTCCTGCCTCATGTAAAGGCTTCGACACTGCTGGAGTGGAACATCTGGGGGACACATTTGTCTAATAAATCGCCACATGAGCAATCCAACTCTACGCTGAATTCTAATTAATTGCAGATAGCCCAACTATACACCAAGCCAAACAATCCCATACCTCAGTGCACATTCAATTATATTCGATTTTTAATTACGTGAATGCTCAGGGGGGATTACAGACGCATATAAACTATTGCGAACATAACCGGATGTTAATTCTGTTGACAAGATGTGCTCTAATAAAGAAGGTTTAGGCATTGCTTTAGAATGAGAACCACCCATAACACAAACTTGAGTAATTACTCATCTCATAAGCCGCATTTGCTTTCAACTTTAAATGTACTCTGCATGAGAGATCCCAGCACATAAATGTCCAACTTAGTCCATATGCCTCTCATGAGGAAAACTCTCATGTGTTGAGTCACCATGGCAATGGTGAACCACAGAAATACAACCATACACCAACCTGCCTGGCTCTATGCCCAGCTACAGTGGGTGAACTCCATGGGAGTTAGTCAGTTCCTTGGGCAGGAAATCAGTGGGAATTTTCCCTCTTTTTATTTACAGTGTAATGGAGTGGTCCTCACTAAAGACATCCTGATTTGAACCAATGTATTAATGCATACTGTAAGGAGCAAGTTGATTATTATATGAATATCATTCAATAATTTACAACCCTTCCATATACATTTGACCTTTTCCATTCTCAAACCCCTGCAGCGCAGTCTATGGTTGCGTTTAAACAGGCAGCCCAATTCTGATCTTTTGCCACTAACTGGTCTTTTGAACAATCAGATCAGATCCTTTGCCAATAATTGGGCAAAAGAGCAGAACTGGAATGCCTGTGCAAATGCAGCCAATGCGTGTTCATTGTTTCAATGCTTCTATTGGTGCATCTAAATTGATGTGGCAACCTGAAGCAGGTGAATACTGTTGAAGCCAATTAGTCCTTAGCCTTAAAGCTACTCAGCACTGCTCGTCAATTCTGTGGTCAGTTTGAGGATGTTCAATGAGGTGAGCCCCTGAGTTAGGCTGCAAATGTGTATCAAGTACTTACACATTTTAAACATGCAGTATTAAAAATAGTAAATTATTTTTGGCAGAATATTGTCATGTTTTTTTTTCTGAAGTATTTCCCCTAAGAGAATGTCAGTCAGGCTTCTCAGACTATATGTCAGGGTTCTTCAATTCTGGTCCTGGAGGGCGGAAACACCTCTGTTTTTCATCCTCTCCTTCTAATAAGGGGCTAATTCAGACCTGGGACACCAGGTGAGTGCAATTAACTACCAGGTAGAAATAAAAAACAGAAGTGTTTCGGCCCTCCAGGACCAGAATTGAAGAACCCTGCTATAGGTTGTCTTGCATGAGTATGGTCTTGTGGCCAGTAATGTAAGTGGTTAGTGAGAAGGTGGGATAAGTAAGCTTATAGTTGGGCTCAGAGCCTTTAAACATGATGTAGCCTATAATAAATCCAAAACTCAAAAGAAATGTTGGAAGGACAGGACATTGTAAGGACAGATGGCGCTGTTCCTTCTATTAACCAGTAACTTTTGGGTCAGCTGCATAGACATTAAAAGGTCAGATGACCTCAATTATAATATTGTAATGTAAAATGATGTAACGGGATGGGGATTCTCTAATAGTCATTTATTTTGTCATTAGAAGAACGAACATTGTGCAATCAGTTGCGCATGGAATTATTGAATCGGCCTTTAAAAAGCTAAAACGTGCTGACATTGTTTGAAGTATTAACAGACTATTTATAGTTGGATAACCATCATTAGTTAATGATTTAATCTACACATTATCTCGCTAATTTTCCCAAAAGTATTCGCCAGCTGCGTCTACCGTCTATTTCTAGCTTCCCATAGTTTCCCGCCTCGCTCACGTCAGCAGAAAGTTATTTTCATGAATGGAGGGGGCGGGTCACGAGGAATTGGTGACGTAAATGCTTGCGGAAGCACGGAGTGGAATGTTGATACATTGTTGTTGTTTTGTAGTTAATTTAGTAAGAGGATACAATTCGGTTCGACTGCTGGACGCCTTACCGAATTGCGACAAGTAACTTCAACCCGTATAGGACGGCAACTTCACAAGCTTTACGCATTCCGGACGGAGAATATTCCGCGTTCATAAGGTGAGCGTACGAGCCCTTTTCTTGGCGATGTTTTGACATTCCTCTCTAAAATTGCTGATGCTATCACGGTGACAGATTAGATTTTACGCATGTATCAACAAGTAAGATCAGGCTTAACAAAGCATTTTAATTTACATGTTATCAACATACTTGGTACATTTTTATTTAGGCCTATCTTAACAATTTGAAACTGCTTACAAACTTTTATGGTTATTTACAATTATCTTTCTGCAATATGGACACGTGTTGGAGTAGCGTAACGCCAGGAATGCACTTTTTTCACTCTTGAAGTTGTTAAAATGCAACAATTTTAACAAATCGTGTTTTTCTGAATTGTTTTTATTTATTTTTTATTCCATTTACCCATCGTAATATTTTGAAGGATAATATTTTTTTTTACTTCTGCCTCTTATAATAACTAAATTTAATATTTTCTGAACTTCAATTATTTACTGTATCCATATCGTTGTCCACATAGCGTACCGTAGCCTACTTTTATATTTACGATGTAAGGAAACAACACGTGGTCTGGATTTTAGAAATCTGGGACAAAGGGCACGGTGTTGGGATAGACCACCAGGAGGATAGTAAAGGGGACAAAAACTATGAAGATTGAGCCAAGTTATGAAACGTTGCCTCTGTTTCAGACATTAACAATTCTACGATTTGCTTGTTTTCCTATAT